ATTTATAGTAATGATTAACCTGCATGGCATTACTTATAAACAAAAGTTGTAGTCCGTTTTCAAACGTTTGCAGAAGCGAACCTGAAGCCAGTGCACATTTCTCTCCAGATAAAGGTGAATTAGTGATCTGGGAAACCCAGCTCACCAAATGTTTGGAAAAGTTTAAAGTGGGAGAAGACTTCAGAAATGATGCCCAAGTAGGTTAGAATAGAATGTTCAAGTGTGTTTTTAAAAATGTTCTAGCTATGATGCATGGGGATGTTCTAGACGCTCTATTTGTGAAGATTCTGGTCATTCAAAAATGTTTACTGAGGAGCTAGTATGTGCCTTCATGAAGTTTCCATTGTTAGTGCGGGGAGGGAAAGACAAGATATAAGTAACTGCATGTCTGCAGGAATAGACCACAGATTCTGGGTGACAGAAATACCCAAGAGCCTTGCTAGAATTAGGGATGGTCCCTCTGATAAGGGGACTTTTGAGAAGAGACATTTTGAGAAGAAAGTGAAAGTATGTAGGAGGAAAGCAATTCCCTTTGTGAGAAGAGCAAATGTAAATGTCCTCAGGTAGGAGGGTGGTTGGTGAGCTCACCGGACAGGAGAGCGAGGGAGATGACAACGGAGAGGCCCGAATGTGTGGGGGGCCCAGGGGTTACTTAGCTGCTACAGTGAGAAAGACGGGAGGCCCTGGAAGGTTGGCTCAGCGATGCCGCCATCTTAGTGCGACTGAAACACAATCATCACTGTTGCTTTGTAGAAAATGGGGGGAAGAGTGGGGTGGGAAGCAAAAGGAGAAGTAAACATCTCTAGCAGTAGCCCAGGTCAGCCAGCCCCCTGCGCCTGCCTGCAAGAGTGGCCGGCACAGTAATGACGGCTGAACAAGCTGTCGATGGCAGTCATGTCGGCCACAGGCTGGTGCCAGGCGAAAAATGGCCACAGTGCCCATACTGAAACCGTAAGTCTGTGATAATTATAAACCAGAGAGATCCTGCTGGGGAGGGGGACAGAGAAGGATCGCAAGAGGGAGGAATGAGGGGACTGCGGTGATGACAGGTGGGTGAAGTGGGGGAGGGGAAGTAACCGTTGTTTTCAAAGGAGTCCACAGGAGGCATGCAAATAGAAGAGGCCCCATTTCCAACCATGGTTCCCCACAATCCTAGGCCTACTTTGCCTGGTGCCAGTTTCATGAGCAAATCCCATAAGCAAATCCCACTCTCCGTTCCACTCACACAGGTGCAGATACAAAGTTGAGCTCCATGGAGACCCTCTCTTGTTTGCATCCCCAAAGCTGTGATGCGCCCCCCTGGGGAGGCAGTCTTCAGCTACCCCTGGTGCTAGTAAAGGCTTCTTCGTCACCCCCAAAACAGAACCATCACTCTCCCACTCTTGCGATGAGCCCTTTCGGGGAGCCAAGAGATCTTCTAAACCAGCAGCATTCCCCCAGGTGTGCCGCCTGGACTTCTGACGCAGCCACTCTGGAATCACTCTAGGGCAGGGCTCTGCCTGGGGAAGGACAGGTCTTGGCCCCGAAGAAGCACTCAGCTTTCTCTGCGGGTGGCGCGTGAGGCTTACCTGTCCCAGGGAGGAGGGACACCATGCTGACGCTGACCCCTGCCACCACCGTGTCCTATGACGTGAAGCGTGTATTTCTGGCCCTTTCGGTCCTGGAGTTTGCGGTGGGCCTCCTGGCCAACGCTTTCATTTTCTCAGTGAACCTCCGGGATGTGGTGAGGAGGCAGCCGGTGAGCACCTGCGACCTTGTCCTGCTGGGTCTCAGCCTCACCCGGCTCTTCCTGCAAGGGCTGCTGTTCCTGGATGCCATCCAGCTGACCTACATCCAGCAGATGAAAGACCCGCTGAACCGCAGCTACCAAGCCATCTTCCTGCTCTGGATGATCGCAAGGCAAGCCAGCCTCTGGCTCGCAACCTGCCTCAGTCTCCTCTACTGCTCCAAGATCGTCCGCTCCTCATACACCTTCCTGGCCTGCCTGGTGAGCTGGGTGCCCCGGAAGATCCCCCAGGTGCTCCTGGCTGCTCTGCTCATCTCCTGTGTCTGCGTCGCCTTCTGTCTGCAGGGCTACTTCAGTCAGTCTGGCTTCCTTGTCGCAGCTCCCGGAGTCACGAACCACAGCAAGATCAGCATGCGAGTCGTGCAACTGCATTTCTTCCATTCCTTCCTCATCTGCAGCCTGGGGGACGTCCCCCCTTTCCTCATTTTTGTTGTTTCTTGTGGGGTGTTGATTGTCTCCCTAGGGAGGCACCTGAGGACAATGAGGACCCTAACCAGCCACGTTGGGGACCCCAGCCTGGAGGCTCACATCAGGGCCCTCCAGTCTCTGGTCTCCTTCCTCTGCCTGTACGTGGTGTCGTTCTGTGCGGCCCTGGCATCGGTGCCTTTACTGATGCTGTGGCACCACAAGCTGGGGGTGATGGTCTGCGTGGGGGTCATGGCCGCCTGTCCCTCGGGACACGCAGTCATCTTGATCTCAGGCAACCCCAAGCTGAGGAGAGCTGTGGGGACCATGCTATGCTGGGCCCAGAGTAGCAGACGGGGCAGAGCGGGCCCCAGGACACCAAATCCCTGCTGAGAGTGGGCATGAAGTGGGCACACCATGAACTTGCCCCCCAACTGGCCATCAACCATTCAGAAATCTACCCCAGTTTCTTCTGCAAAAACCCACTGTGCCTCACAGGACTCACCACAGAAGAACAAAATACTTGCAGCACTATGCAGGGCTTCAGCAAGTGGCCTTTGCTCTCCAGCGTTGCTTGATAAAATGAAATAAACAGCTGTAAACATCTGTGGTTTATCAGTGCTTGGCAAGAACCAAACCACCAGTCGTCACCTTCTGAAATAATCTCGACATTCCAGTGCTCAGCTTGCACACGCTACCAACTCTGTTTCTCAGTCTGGAGTTGGCATGCTATTTGGACTTATTTTCACTATCACAGCAATTACATGGCCCTGGGCAGGCTCTGTGGTTTTCATGGAAAACCACAATGAGGAAGAACAATGAGGTCATTGTTTTGACTCTAAGAGGTACTACTTTTAATCAATGCACCCCGGGAATCAGAGGTTGGGGGGTCATTTGTCAGCAATGCATGTTCAACCTGCTTTATGCTGAGAGGAAAGAGGGAGAGATTTGCCCAGGTGGGGCCCGAGGCACTGGAGCCAAGGGTGACACATGCCCTTGAAGACACCTAGTTGGGGACCGGCCAAGACGGCCTCACCGAGGTGTTGTGTGCTCAGCTCAGCACCTCTTCTCGGCCTGCACGTGAGCCCAGCCAGGAAGGCCTCCGCGAACCAGGTCTAAACAGGGCACAGAGCCCACCAGGCATATAGCTCTCGAGAGTCTCCTATTGCTGCTGTGGGCACCTCCCTACCAGGTCTTGATAAATCCAATTGCTTCTCTTAGACTTTCCAGACACACAAAACTATGGTCACAAAATCTGCAACTTCTCTGGGTCCTTTCCTTGGGAGAGACGGACTTTTCCTAGGTTTCCTTTAAAGGTGATTGTTCCTGGCTACACACTGAAATCCCCTATGGGATTCTGAAAAAAAAATCTCAATGTCCAGGCCATGTCCTAGCAGTCAGGCTGAAGCTCTGAAAGTTGAGCCCAGCCATCATGTTTTGTTTTGTTTTAAGATTTATTTTCATTTGTTTATGCATACAAAAGCTGGGGTGTAGGCCAGAGGTGCAGGGGGTGAGAAGACTCACCAGAGACAGAGTGGGGGAGAAGAACAGGTGGATTTCCTGAAGTACACTGCTGAGGGGAGCAGCGGGGAGACAGCAGAGGTCTGCCATGCCATGTGGGTCACTCCCTGGCCAGGGATTGAACTGATGCCACAGTGGCTGGGGATACTTTGATGCACAAGACTTTAACCCCTGTACTACCAGGGAGACCCTGGGCTTCGTATTTTAAAGCAAACTGCCTGGCTCCTGGGTGCAGCCAACATCGAGGACCATGCTTCAGATCCCCTCTTCCTAAGCTGGATGACAGACCTTCCAGCTGAACTGCTGTGACACCTCTGAAGCCCGCTCTCCTCTAGAGGACTTGGGGAAATGTGATCAGAAAAGAAACCAGGGCAACTCTCTCTTTTGGCCCTTTTCTTGTAAGCTCTCTCTGCAGACTCCATTCCTCTCCACTCAGCTTGCTGCCACCACAGCTTTATTCTCAACATGATGCTTTCACACAGTCACATGTATTACAAAGCAGCACCTGGGTCCCTAGATTCTTTATCCAGGTCTACCCATAAGTTATACTTTGCCCCATTTTTCTTTCCTCCCTGTGCCCCCTTTACATAGACAGAAAATTCCACTGGTAATATCCAGTTCCCTGTTGTCATCCTCTCTTACAGATTTGTAACTTTCTGCAATGTGGTGACGTGACATTCATCCTCTCTTTATGCCCAATACTGTCACTCATTTGCTTAGGCCTAGCATATAGGGGGAAATGTTTTAGAATTGCTATCTTATAACACTGCACAAAGCAAAATGACTAGTGAGAGCTCAATATTTGCTGAGAATAATTTTTCCATTTTTAAGCAAAATGTATATACAAAAAATGCACCATGTGGCGAGGTTTGATACACTGTGTTGCCCTCAGCAGGGATGAGTCCAGTATTCCTTTTCCACTCAATCTCCACCCACTATAGGAAACCACTACCCCAATCTCTCCCCGCAGATTATGTATTTCCAGCCATTAGTTTCGTCTGTTCTCATATGGACTCAATTGGTAGAAACTTCTGGTTCTGTTATTTTTTTTTAAAGATTTATTTATTCATACAGAACTGGGGTACAGGCCAGAGATGCAGAGGGTGAGAGGATTCACCAGGGACAGAGTGGGGAGCAGAACAGGCAGATGGATGAAGCACACTGCTGAGGGGAGCAGCGGTCTGGTCAGGAGAGGTCTGCGGAGGCACATGGGTCACCTCCGGGGCAGGCGGGGATTGAACTCATGCGGAATTGGCTTAAGCTTCTTAATGCAGTGCTTTAACCCGCTGTGCCTCCAGGGAGGGCCTGGTTCTGCTATTTTTGCTTAACATCATGCTTTTGTAATTCATCCTCAATAGCGTGTGAATCACAACTGGCTTAGCCCATTGACTAGTGAAGAATATTTGCATTGTTTACAGTTTGGGGCTATGAGAAATCAAGTTTCTCTAGACGGTCTTGAATCCTTTTTTCAGCCTTAATTTTTATTTCTCCTAGGGAAGTACCTAAGGGTGCAATGACGGTGTCATAAAGTTGATGGTCATTGAATTGCACCAAAAATTGCTAGATGGCTCCCAAGTGATTCTCCATCCACAATATAGCAGCTGTTCCTCATTCTCACCAACACTTGGTGAGTCTTTCGATTAGGGGCATTCCAGTGGAGGTGCATGATAGCTCCTCAGGATTTCATTTGCATTTCCTGGCAAAGAACAATGTGGGACAGTTTTTCTTGTGCTTCTTTTGCATATCTTCTGTTGTAAAGTAACTATTAATGCTTGATTTGTTTGCCCTTTTTTAACATTGAATTGACTTTTTACTATTTACTTACGGGAGTTTACTGATTTGTACATGTGGGTTCATAAAATGATGTATATTTCTTTAAAATGTTCAATCTGACAACCTAAAGACCATGGTATCTCTCTTTACCTATTTGTCTTCAACTTCAAAAATACTTTATTATTTTTAGTGTAGAGGTTTTACATGTCCTTTGATGAAATTACCCCCAAGTGTGTAATATTTTATAATCTTATTGTATATAGAATTTGTTTTCAATGACTGCTGGTTTATATAATTTTTGATACAAGGATACAGGGACCATGTAACTTGTGAATTTCCTAAATTAACTTTTAATTCCAATATTTTTTGTAGTTCCAATTTTCTTTGAAATTTTATACTTTAGTCATGTCATCAGCAAATAAAAACAATTTTTCTTCTTCCTTCCCTTTATTCTTCTTTCCTTCCTTAAGGCCTTTATTTATGTTATCTTTCTGCCCTGATTGGGATCTTCCCACAATATTGATTGAAGTAATGTGAGTATCCATCCCTGCCTCAGTGCTGATCTTAGGGGAAAATATCCAGTTTCATCATTAAGTAAAACACTGATTTTGAATGTCTTACAAGTATCCTTTGTGATATCCAGCATGCCATTTTTATTCCTGTGTGCTGAGAAATTTTTTATCATGATTTGGAGTTGTATTTAATTAAAGGCTTTATTTGTATTTATGAAAATAATTCATTTCCTTGACTTTGTTAACACAATGACTTGCTTTGAATAAATGTTAAATATTAAGTCAGTCTTGCATTCCTGCAATAAACCCTACTTAGGTATAATGCATTATTTTCATATTTGATTCTATATTCATGATTAATATTAAGCTCCTATGTTTATTTTCCTTTAAAATATCTTCATCATGTTTTCTACATATATACACACCATCATCACATGTGTGTGCCATGTGTGCACATATACACATGTGCATTATCCTACCCATTCATCTACCTGTGAGCACTTTTGCTGCTTCTATGTCTCGGCTATTAAGAATAATGCAGCAATGAAAATGGGCGTATACAAGGAGAACCTCCACACTTTTACAGTAGTGGCTATACCGATTTATATTCCCACCAACAGTCCTAAAGGTGCCCTTTCCTGCATGTATTAGCCAGCACTTACTCGCTCTTGTCTTTTTGAGAACTGCATTCTAACAGGTAGGAGGCAATATCCCATTTTGGTTTTGATGTGATTTGGAGAATTTTCCCATGAACTTGGCCAGTTGCATGTCTTCTGTGGAAAACTGTTTATTTGAGTCCTCTACCTATTTTTTTTAATCAAACTGTTTATTCTTTTGCTAATCCATTTGTTGTTGTTATGAGTTCCTTATGTATTTTGAATAGTAAGCCCTTATCCAATATACATTTGTAAATATTTTCTCCCAATCTACAAGTTGCCTTTTCATCTTGTTGATTGTTTTCTTCATTGTGTTTTTCAGTGTTCTTATTGTATAAGCCAGGCTGCACTGCTGATGTTGAGTGTAAAGCCAAAATTTGCCCCTCTGAAGGTCTCTTCTGGTGCTATGGTCTATGTATCTCTCATGGGCCTTCTTTTCTTGATTTAAGGACTATGAGAACAGCTGAAGGATTAATAGATATGTAATATGTCAGTTTCCTAAATCTATTTTCAGGATGTTCAACTGAGTTTTAAGAAATCTGGCCATGAGCTATGTGCCTAGCAAGTTTCCTTACACATATACTACCTTAAGGTTACAAATATACTTATTTCTATAAATTGGTATTTTTCATTTGATAAATTGTATCATAATCTCTTCATCTGACTCCTATGAATAGTATTCTTGAAAACTTTTTTAACTAAATGAAAAGAAAGAGATACCTTTATTATTAAATAAATCTTCAATTTTCTCAGAGGATACATATCATCACATTTAATTAGTGATACAAGACTACATATAATTTAGCATCTAGAGTCCTGTCATTAAAAAAATGTGTGGCCAGAGTTCAGATCAGCACATAAATGAAATGGCATAGCCAAAGATTTAGTGGTGAAAAAAGCCTCAGAATGGCCTATACAGGCAGTTCAAGATCCGACTATGCATCCAAGATCCAAAGCCAAGAGTTGGCATTCGCTCATGTTAAAGGTTTTAACAGAACCTTAAATAAAGCAGCGACATAATCACGGGGGGATTTTATAAGGATTAGCTCAATAGTGTGGTCTGACACAGGCTGGTCTCTGGAAAGGGGCAGAGGATTTGAGCTGCTTGTGCTCCAATGGCAAAGAAAGATTTGGACTAGGTTGGAGGCATCGGGAATGGAAAAGGTGGAACAGATCTCAAAGCGTTTTTGAAAAGCAGCATCAGTGAGTGTCTTGATAGGGTGTTTGAAAAAGAAGGAAGAATCAAGGAGGTTTTCAGTGCATGAGTGTGCTGAAATGTGATCTAATCGCCAACCAGAAAATGGAGAAGTTGGGAACGGAAGTGGGTCAAAATAAAGGGAAAATGCTGTGTGGTTGGTAACTCATTGCAAACGGGCTGACATAATTTCATGTAGATGGTACTAAGTCAAAATTCAGGCTAGAGGCTAGATCTAGGAAATGCTTGTGGTCATCAAATGAGAAGCTAATCTGAAAAATGTAAGTTTTGAATTGGGTTATACTAAAGGAAAACATTAGCATTGGATCCACAGAGCTTTGGAAGGAACAAGTAGGTAAGAAGATGTGGGTAGGATGTTAGAATGAATTAGGTATTTTGGGAGGAGTGTGGGGGAAGAGGACAGGGAGTTTCCTGGTAATTTCTTTGTAACTGTCCCTCCTCACAACTACAACTAAAATGTTTACCATGGCCCTGCCCCAAACATATTTGATGGGCCCATTCCAGGCTCTAATTACCACATCTATGGATTTCTAAGCACAGTATGTCTCCTGATGCATGATGCCATGAGTAGGCTTCAGATCATTACCATTATATAAGTTTACATAGTGTTTTTAAGTTCACGAACAAGTTTGCTTTTAACACAACCCATCACAGAATGTCTCCCCAGTGACACTAACTTGATCTCCCTATAGTGAAATATCAGAGCTTTTCTTAGTAGACAGATGTAGGTTATGTCTTGATGTTGTAGATGTCATGCTGCCACTTGAATAGATTCACTGCATAAACTTTTCAATCAGTGCCCTAGGTGAGCACAGCTAACTGCTTGGAGTTATTTTATACCCTGGCTTTCATCAGTTGCATTATAAAACGCAACTTGTTACTTAATTCTTCTACTACATGTTCCCAGTCATTTTCAATATTCTCAGCAATAGTGTTTCTGTTGATAGTACATTTGTGAATGTTTGCTCCTCTTGAATTCATATCATTTCTTCTTCACTCCATAACAATTCTTTTAAAAATGTATCACCTGTAAAAATGTATATGGGGACATCTTCACAAAGTTTAAAGAGTTTGTGGATTTTTACTTGCATTCAGAAATGAATCATTGGAAATTTGAATTTTTTCAGTTAACTGAATTTTCATAACGTGTTTTTTCTATATTCTTTCATTTACTTCCTAATGGTGCTGTCTAGGTGTTATTATTTGACAAAGACACATTTTATATTTTCAACACAAAACATTCATAAAGAACTATGTTCTCTTCTATTTTTCTGGAACTGTGCAGACTTTTTGTTCTATACTTTGTTTTCCCTTTTTCAAAAGGAGACATGGCTTTAAATAACTCTTCTCTATTCCAAGGAGAAAGCAACAACTTTTCAAGCAGGACACCAGCCGGCAACTAGATTCCTTCCCCGGAGGTGGTGAGACCTTCCTTCCAGCCTATCTATCCACCTCTCCATCCTTCTGCCCGTCCATCAATCTAGCCATCATCTATCTTTTTACCTACCTACTCATCTAGAAAAAATTCAGATTCAGAGGTATAGCAGTAATTATAGCTGAATGTGGGAACGTGTATGGATTTGCTTTTGTTTTCTCAAATTTCCTAGCCAGTATTTTCTAATCATTTTTTACAGTGAGCCCAGTTGTTTAATATAAGGGAAAATGTAATTGATGGAACACTTCATATTTAATATGCAATAAAAACTCCTTGACAATGACTATTGTTCACACTCTCTTCAGCCCTCCTCCAGCAGCACGCTCCAGAAACTCTTCACCACCACTCATCTTGCATGGCCATGGCCTGGCAGGGGTCCAGGAGGAGAAGCCCACAAGGGGGGCTGAGCAGAGCTGACTGAAGTGAAGGGGCCTGTCACACCAAGGCCTGGTCACTGATACCAGCCTTCTGATGGTTATTTTCTTAAAAATATTATTTTGCCATAGCTTCAGATTTGCAGAAATGTTGCAAAAGCAGGATAAAGAGTGTCCATCTACCTTTACTCAGATGTCCCCTTTGTGGACAATTGACTCCAATTTCTTCCCACTGTATTTCAAAGAGATTCAGACACAGAGAAAGGATAAGTCTGTGTCAAGGTACTTTATTTTCCAAATTCTCCTTAAAAATGTTCTCCTCAGCCTCCCTTGGTGGCCCAATGGGGTGAAGCACAGCACTGGGAAGCTATCTGCAGCCACTGTAGCCTGAGTTCGGTGCCCCACCAGGGAGCTGGCCCACAGGGCACAGCAGACCTCTCCTGTCTCCCTGCTGCTCCCTTCAGTTGTTGTCAGTCTTCCTGTTCTGGCCCTAAGTCCATCTCTGGTGAATCCTCTCACCCTCCCGTACTTCTGGCCTGTCCCCCAGTTCTGAGAATAAATACTGGATAGTTTCATTTATGTATGGAATCTAGAGAAATCAAACAAAAGATCAGACGATGACAAACTGTCGGACTGACCTTTGAAAGCGGGTGTGGATCTAAGACATTTAGGAGTCAGGAGGGGAGGGAGGAAGAGGGAAAGGAGAGCAGAACACAGGGGAGAGGAGGGCGAGCTGGAGGGTGGCAGGACTGGGGCAGCTTGGTAGTGGGGAAACGAAGGTGACCGCACCTGAGGGGAGAGAGCCTATGTTGTGAAAAAGTAACCAAGGGTGATCAAAAAAAAAAAAATCCCTGGCAGGAACCCGCCTCCTTGGAGGCTGCAGACTCCTTCCTCTCCTGGCCCCACCCTCTCCCTTGGCCAGGGACTCTGAAAGAAGAAGTGCTTGCTGGGACTGCCAGGACCGCGGGGCAGCGAGGAAGGACTGCGCTGCGCAGAGGGAGCACATCCTCGCGGCCCTGCACCACGCCCGGCGGACAGCGCAGCCCCCCACACCAGCCAGCCCTCCAGGGAGGACAGGTGAGCTGGCCAGTCCGCCCGCCCTGCACAGATGGTCGGCTCTTCCCCAGCCGTGGCCTTCGGGACACCTGTTCTGTCTGTGAGTCGCCAGTCAGAATTTTGAGGTCTGGTGCTTCCGACAGCCCGGGTCTGTGTGGCCTAGGCTACCCAGGAAGGTCCTCGGGACCAGAGTCGGCTTAAGGGGAAGGGCTGTGAAAGCCCAGGAGGGGGGCTATTTCTTCAGCAGAGAGGAGGCCACAGATGAGGGCGAGAATGAGGGCTGGCGCCTTGGGATGGCTGAGCCGAGGGAGAAGCGGTCTAGCCGGGCACAAGATGCCAGTGTGTCCTCTGCCCGTGCTCCGGGCTCCTCCTGCACCCCTCAGAGGCTGCTGCTTCCCAGTCCCTGGGTGCTCTGAGAAAGAGGCCCACGTGGCAGGGTGGGAGGGAGGAAGCCTAGTGGCAATCCGACCTGACAGGGGTGCTGGTCTCTCACCCGCAGGCTCCCCGTCTCCCCCAGCATGAACTGGCACCTGGTCATCTCGGGGCTCATAGTAATGGTGCTAAAAATCGCTGGAATGACTTTGTTTCTGCTTTATTGTGAGTACTGGCGCGACCTCTAACCCCACCCCTGTCTTGCTCTTTGACTCCTCTCAGAGTAAGTGGCTGAACGTCAAGGTTAGATGTCTAGGTCTTTCCACTGAGAGGGACTGACCGGGCCTGTGGGCAACTGATGATGCCTTTCCAGCCCCCCACCCCCACCCCAGATGGCGACCAGGTTCCTCCTCTATCATGAAGAGGGGGAACTCGCTAGGGTCTGGGGGTCAGAACCCCACATGACAGCGCTTTTGCCACCCGAGTATTCACGGGACACTCTGAATCTTCAGCTGCACTTGTTACTGCTGCTCACGTTTGAAAATACAGCTCCCGGTCACCCCAGTGGCAGGCTGTAGGAAGAGCTGTATTTAAGCTAGTGGGACTTTTACCCAGGGAGCTATTTCCCTCCGGGTACATAGACACATGGTCATCCAAACGCTTAGAAAAGAGGCTTCGTCACAAAGGATTTTACTGCAAGTGGGCAAGACGAAGCCTCTACAGCCGGAGAAGCCAGCAGGGAAGATAAATAGGAAGGAAATTCTACGCAGAGGCAGTGATCAGGCAAAGGCGTCCTCCTTGTGAGCACATGTGAAGGAACAACTCCTATCACGTCAGAGAATGGAAGGAACAGTTGGCTGTCAGACCACCTACTCTCAGAAAACCCGCCGTCTCCCTGGCCGAGGGCACAGTATTTCACATGGTGGTCGCAGCACACAATGCCCCGCCCGAGGCTTGCTGGGTACAGTCATCTCGCAATGCCCTTAAGGGCTGAGCCAACAGCTGATTTTCTTTGCAGTCCCGAAGATTTTTGGTGAAAGTGATGTCAGCATCACCCCCACAGGGAGCTCTGGGACAGGTAATGTGCGTGAGAGTCTCCTCTCCACCCTCCAGGTTCTTACGTCCTTTCTCCAGGCCTCCTGTTCCCAGAAACTCTTTTGCATGAAGAGCCCAGAGAGATCTGCTAATTGTCCTAAGATAAGATGTTCTGGGGAATGGGCAGGTGGGGGCTACAGTCACCAATGCTGTATTATACGGTTAAAAGTTGATAGGAGAAAAAAAAAAAAAAAGTTGATAGGAAGAGAGCCCTCCCCGGTGGCGCAGCAGGTTAAAGCACAGCATTAAGAAGCTAAAGCCACTTCTGCATGAGTTCAATTCCCACCTGACCACATGGCATGGCAGACCTCTCCTGACCCGCCCGCTGCTCCCCTCAGCAGTGTACTTCGTCAATCTGCCTGTTCTGCTCCCCACTCTGTCTCTGGTGAAGCCTTTCACCCTCCACATCTCTGGCCTGTACCCCAGTTCTGTATGCACAAATAAATAAATCTTTAAAAAAAAAAAAGTTGATAAGAGGTGAGCCCTCCCTGGTGAGGCAACGGGTTAAAGCACAGCGCCAAGAAGCTAAAGCCACTTCAGTGCGAGCTCGATCCTCACCCCAGAGGTGACCCACAGTGCGCTGCAGACCTCTCCTGATCACGTGCTGCTCCCCTCAGCAGTGTACCTCGTCAGTCAGCCTGTTCTGCTCCCTACTCTGTTCCTGGTGAAGCCTCTTACTGCCCCTGCGCCTCTGGCTTGTACCCCAGTTCTGTATGCACAAATAAAGAAATCTTTTAAAAAAAAAAAAGTAGATAAGAGCTTAGTTGTTAAATGTGACCACCCACTCGCACTCGTGCACATGTAGGAGTGTGTGCACCCACCCACACACCCACACACACACACACACACACACAGGCAATTATTTGAGGTGAAGGAGTGTATCTGATCCTATGTGAAAGTCATTTTCAACATAAACGTACATCAAGTCATCATCATGTTATGTGCCAATGATATCTTAATAAAATTAGAAAAGTAGAAAAAATGCTGCATACCCAAAAAAAAAAAAATCGAATTCCCTCCCTTTTGTAGATAGGAAGCCAAGAGGAGACTGAGTAAAATTTCTAATTCTCAGTTTCCTCCTGGGTCTGAGGAGAATTTGTACAGGAACAGTCAGGTGCTGTGGGGCGCCTGAAACGAAGGGCCCCAGTTTGGGTCAAAGGAGAAAGGAGCAAGCGGCATCCTGCACTGTATTTGTCCATTCCTCTCCCTTTCTCCTGTTTTTCCTTAAATTTCACACCTACTGCCACACTAAAGACATGAAGTAAGATTTGGGTTAGAGCACAACACATAATGGTGGTAGGTGAGAGGGTCAAAGAATGAACACAGGCCCTCCCCGTGGCACAGCGGGTTAGCACACAGCACTGCAGGCCAGCCGCAGCCGTCTCAGCGCGGGTTCGATCCCCGCCTGCCGCGGAGGCGACCACAGGGCGCGGCAGACCTCTCCTGACCCCATCGCTGCTCCCCTCGGCAATGTGCTTCGTCGATCTGCCTGTTCTGCTCTTCACTGTGTTTCTGGTGAAGCCTCTCACTGCCCCTGCACCTCTGGCCTGTACCCCAGTTCTGTATGCATGAATAAGTCTTTAAAAAAAAAAAAGAAAAGAAACATATCTGGAAAGTTCTGGAACGAAATGGCCCACTGTCGGGAGACAAAGAGTCACAGGGACTGAGCAGCGCTCTGCTGTCTGCGTGCTCTAGTCACCTGTGCTACTTGACTTTTCCTTTTCACTCCAGTCCCTCAGGTGTTCAGGACCAGTACCGTCAGCTCCGTTCCCACAGAGCGCTCCGGGACAGGTAAAGAAAGCCCAGAGCTCTAACATCCACTCTGCCCACAGGTATCTTGTGTAAAGACTTCTCTCTCCCTGTTACCTCCTTTTTTGTAATTTTGCTCAAAGAGGCCATAAAGACATTCTAACTCATTCCCTTGCTAGAGACAGTGAAACTGAGACTCGACTGCATGAAATGTCTTGCTGGGTTGACACACGGTTCTAACAGAACCCATGTTCCACTAGCTTGTGGCTTAAATACAGGGTTCACACCCCAAACCATTAATCTCTCTTTCCTTGGATCCTTTAGTCTGCCCCCAGGGATGGGATTTTCATGAAGGAAGATGTTTTTTCTTGTCGGCTTCTGAATTGTCTTGGAACAAAAGCAGGGATTTCTGTGAAGCAAAAGGATCAACTCTGGCTATTGTCAACAAACCAGAAAAACTGGTGAGAGCTGGGATGGAGTCAGAAGCCCAACCCCACCAGCCCTAGTGGGTGGTCATGCGGGACAACTGGGTTCCTGGAGGGAAGGGGGTGATGGAGAGAGAGAGGACTGGCTGAGACCTCAGGCTCCTTGTTCTGAGGCTGGAGGGAGGAAACTTTCCTCAGCAGCGGAGTGTGCGCCTTAGGGTCATTTGTGCTAAAGAAAGTCACATTCTAGAGTCTCTTCTAGAAGGCACAGAAGTGGACTGGTAACCTGGGAATGGGCCAGAGCACTTAAAGTATAGGAGTGACCAAATGAGCTGAGATACAGTTAGACAGAGAGGTGGGAGAGGGAGGGGAGGGAGAGAGGGAGGGGAAGGGCGGTGGAAAAGAAGAGGAAAAAGGAGACTCTAAAAGAAGGCTCTGCAGAATATGTCATAGATGGAAGCTGTTAATTGTCATTCCACTCTGCCTAGTAAATAAGGACGATGCAATGAACACAATTAGTAATGCGAGAAAGAATCGGGTCTTAGAATCAGGATTGCAGTGTACTACTATGATAATAAAAACAGGTAACACTAAGCTCTACTTTATTATCTACTCATAACAATTCTGAAGCGGCATTATTAGCACAGGAAATTAATCTGACCAAGGTCATATATCTACTAAACGAATGTGGAACTGCACAAAACATGGAGTTGAATTGCGACCACTCTAACTCCCAAACACACACTCTTAACGATATTTGACCATAATTTGTTTCCATTATACTTGCCTCTCTCGAACCCGACGCCTTTGCGAAGCCTTATGTTACATACAGGACATACATAATACCTGCTGCTCTCCCTTCTCTCTCTTAACTTTCCTCCTATAAAGTCCTCCTATGATGCAGAATTTGTAAGAGGGTCTTCTCTGAATGCCTCCCTGTACTCCCTCCAGGAATACCTGAAAAGTTGATGTGCCCCAAGCTCATTTAGAAAGCACAGTTTCTAGAAATGTCAACAATCCAATGCAGAAAAGGGGTGCCTGAAATTAGTCTTTTCCAGATGGTGCGCGACCTTCCCCCTCACAAAGTGGTTCCTGAGAGCAGCACCAGCACCACCTGGAGGGCCTTTGTCCCCTGCCAGGCACACGGGCCAGGAGCCCAGTAGCCTGTATCTCCACAAGCCCTCCTGGTGATCCTGATGCTTCATGCAGAGGACAACTGCTTGTCCGGGCTATGTGATCACCAGCGACAGCCAGCCCTAGACTCCCCCAGCCTTATTCTCAGCCTCAGGTATAATCATGGGTCCACAGGCACAAAAGAGCAGCAGCACAGAAGTTGCTTTTAAACTGTTGTTGTTTTAATTTCTAGACGTTTCTCCAGGACATAACTGGTGCTGAGAAGTATTTTATTGGCTTACTATTCCAGCAAGCAGAGAAAAAGTGGCGTTGGATCAACAAGTCCATGTTCACTGGCAAGTACGTAAATATCCCACCTTATTCTGGGAATCTTGGTTGGGTTTGAGACTCAGTGGGTTTGTCCTGAAATAGTGCAAAGGCTGAGGCTTAGCTCTTTTTTCTAGTCCTCTCCTTTCTTCCAACTCAACTATGGTCAGAGACGTTTTTTGTAATTTTTTATCATGGAAAAATGTCAAACGTTTCTCAGGAGAGAGAAGGGTACTCATACAGCAAATTATTTTGGTCAGATCAGATTCCAACCAAAGCCACTATTATACCATGTTTTCTGTATCTCATAATTGCATCTCTTTTAACCCATCCATCCCATTTTATTGCTAAGTTCATACAAGTTCCTCACATGTGCTTTCTTTACCTAAAGAAAAGTCATTATAAGGTACATATCCATGCCTTAAAGCTGTGAACTCTAATCCCAGGAGGTAGCACCTGTGTGTCATGTCATGGGCTTAAATTTTAGTAGAAAACATGACATTTCCAGTGTGAATATGAGTCAGACAGAAAGCAACTCAGTTCCCAGCCTGCAACTGAGCTTCCCACAGAGGGGAGGGAGGAAACAAATATTCATCCAGTGTCTTCTGAATGCCAGACATTTGTCAAGTCCTTACACATGCCATTTCCTGCCATAGGAAAAGCTTTCATTGATCCCATTTCATAGACAGCTGAACTGAGGAGGAGAGGCTTGCCACTGCATTGAGTCTCCCAAGCTAGGAAGCGGTAGAGCCACAGTTATAACCGACACAATTCATTCCAAAGCTCCTAACTTCCCCATGACACCAGACTCTCCAGTCAGACTGAAAGTGGTTGATTAACAGAGAGAGAGGTAGGTCAACAAGGTTTTCCCTAAAGGGGGTGCCTAGGAAAGAAGAAAACTCCTCCCTCTTCCTGTGCTCCTATGTGAACACATACATGCAGCACTTAAAATGGTTTCTGTAAGAAAAAGAGACCGATGACCCTGAGATGTTCCTGAACAAACACAAAGTGGCTACATCCCAGGCTGGCTCCATGAAAGCTCAAAGGAGAGTTGACCGGAAGGGTCAGTTCAGAGCTGGATTTGGGGTAGAAGAGCGGGACTGGGGTCAGTGATGGGCAGGACTGGAAAGACCAGCTTCACCGCGTTGTCTTCTCCCACTTAGTGTCACCAATGAGCGTCAGAATTTCAACTGTTTGACCATTGGCCTAACCACAACGTATGACGCTGCTTCCTGTGACATCAGCTACAGGTGGATCTGTGAGAAAGCTGCCAGATAACAGCCCTTCTCCGTGGCCTCCGATGAGAACAAGAAATAGAGACAGAGCAAAAGCGAAGGTGTGTAGCTGGGGTGACCCAGGAAGTACAGAATATCAAATTACCTGGGCAGTCGCCCGTGGGTACAGTAGCTCTCACAGAGCCTGAGAACTTCTCTCCCAACACCCCAAATAGACTGACATGCACACACAGGCAGACACCCCATTCTGACCCAGCAATTCCAACACAGACCCCATTTCCTGTGAGTCACAGCCATAATCCTGTTGGGACCCACATGGCTCATCTAGTGAACAGCTGCTCTATCCGCCTTTCTACTGGGAAAGGTCTCCGCCTGTGTAGGGAAGTGAGCTTCTCTTCTGCTTCGGAGACAGCTGCTATCATGGCCAAGTCTACTTCTATGGAGCTGAGATTTCTGACTGATCAGTGGCCTGTGGCCAAGTCTGTTTTATCCTTAGAGCAGACGTCCAGAGACAAAGGGGAAAACTGCAGACAGGGCAGGAACATTATCTAGAGAGAAAAAGGGATAAACTCTCCTTCTTTGACATCACCTCTGTTGCCAGTAGACCATGTTCCTCTGCCCTCTGGTCACTGACCTCCTTGGACTGATCTGGGGAAGAACCCCTGGCGTCAGGCTTAGAACAGAAAAGAACTGCTCATGGAAATGGCGAGGGGTCTGAGTAGAGCTGGAATCTGCCAGAAAATTCCCTTAGATGATCAAGCAAATTGAGTTTCTGTTCTTCAGCAAAGCTAGAAGACACTATTAAGGGTGCCTCAAGGTTAAATGTTCATAGCCTTGGCCTGAATCTCCATTTTAGCAGATTTTTATTACATGACCATGTTTGTTGAGTCTATTTTAAGAATCCAGAATGATCTCTTGGGTCCCCGTGGTCCTAACACATCCCTAACAGCAGTTCTAGAAAGATCCTGCCACAGGCACAGCCCACAGACCCAGCAGCACCCAGCCTGGAGGGCATCTCACTGACTCAGGACTGGACCAGCTGACCAAGGAGCACACAAAGAGGAAGGCTACTCAAGGAAACATTAGTCATAGGCAACGAGGGGGCATGAAGAAGAGGGACACCAGAGCCTCCCCCCCACCAGTGATGCGGAGGTTAAAGTCTCAGCACTATGAAGCTATCCCCAGCCACCTCAGTATGAGTTTCATCCCTGGCCAGGGAGCTGACGCACAGGGCTCAGCAGACCTCTCCTGTCCTCCCGCTTCTCCCCTCAGCAGTGCATTTCAGTAGATCTGCTTGTTCTGCTCCCCACTCTGTCTTTGGTGAAGCCTCTCACCGCCCCTGCACCCCTGGTTTGTACCCTAGTTCTGTATGCATAAATAAATAAATCTTAAAAAAAAAAAGGAACAGAGGTTGGAAGTTCTCTAATGATGTTAATGTCATGTTCATGAATGGGGGAGCCCGACTCGGTTGGTAGATTAAGGAATAAACAGAATTCCACACCAGAGGTGATCTCAGAGTCCAGACCACAGAAGGGAAAGCACAGCCCTGTTCTGAGAAGCAAGAGCTGTGGTTGCCAGACTTCCTATTTCACGACGTAATAAACTGCAGACTTAAAATCAGGAAATGCAGACATGTGCGTGCTCCCAGGTAGACAGCCCGCAGTCCCCCTCAAGATGAGGAGGGGGTCTGGGCAGGTCCCGAAAGATGTCCACTGCAGTGGGGTGAGATGGGGTGGGAGGCACCGAGGGAATGTGTGCACTTGGCTAAGCCATCACTGGACCCCAGGTACTGGGTTCTCAGAAGGGAAAATGAAGGTAGTGTGTTTTTGTTTTGTGTTGAAAAAATGGACTTGTAGTAAGCCAGTGAACTAGAGCTTGGTTTGTTTCCGATACCGTCTGTGTAGCTTCTTACCCCTCCTTTGCCTTAATTTCCTCACCGATAAAGTAGGGTCGTAATACCCTGTTCACAGAATTCCTGTGGGTATTAAACAAGATCTTCACGAGGTAGCTCAATGGTATTGAACAGCATGGACATAAGATGATGCAGGGCAACCCCACGATATCTCCGGGACCCCTTTTACACATTCCAGAGTGGCTGAGAACTCCAGGTAGGAACAAATGAAACTCCACATCTCCTGCCCTATGGGTCTCGCATTTTCTACTTTCGTCTCAACAGACACTTTGCAGTGTCTGGACTTAAGTGACTACTTGTCTGCTAAAAATATATCCCCTAGAGTGAGATATTTGCATAAACACTCAAAACGATTACAAGCAGCAGTTTAATTAGTGCATCCCTAAGATGCCAGAAAAATAGAATCACTTTACTTTTAAATTGGTAACACAGAATTTCATCAGTAACATACTCATGAAATAAGACCAAAGCAATATGAAAGACAGTAAGTCCATCCCCAACTCTTCTACAGCCTCGTGTTGCCTTCTGAATACATCTTTATATTACACAAATATGAATGATTTGAGATATATGTATACATATATATAAAACAAAATTATTTTCATGATAAAATTAGTTAACATTTATCACTTTGCATGATTCATTTTTTTTAATGGTGAAAACACGCAAGTTCTACTCTGTTAGCTTTCAAATAAACAAGCAGAGCTGACTGCTGCCCCCCAGCTGGAGGCATGGAGCCCCAGAGCTTACCAGTGTTGTAACTGGGAGTCTGGCCAGCACCCAAGTTGGACCCTACCCTGGGAACCACCAATCGGTACTTTGTTTCTATGGTGGCCAGATCCCCTTGGTTTAGCTGAGAAAACTCTCCCTCGACTAAACACTTAGGAAAGAGTAGAGTTACACTCTACTACCCGTTGCATTCCTTCCTTAGGGTTAGCTGTGAACTCGCTGAATGACACCCCTAGTCCTTCATTATGATTGTTAACTTATTACTCCAAATGCATTTCTAGAAGATTTGGAAAAACTGTTCAACCCTAACAAATATTCTCTGAGTCTCTCTGGGCTTGACATCAGAAAAAACATACTGGTGGCTGAGATAACTCCCTGCTGGGGGAGTTAGACCCCCCGACTCAAGTCACCTGGCTGCTGGCACCTCCTCAGACCGGAAGTGACAAGCACCACATTTCCTGCACGTCACTTCCAGCAAGCTGGCATTATGAGCGACTGGACACCCTCGGCGGCCATCTTGATAAAACGCCTTCTGAATTCAAGTCCCGAATTCAGAGTTTCACTCATGTCACCACGCATCAATCCCTCAATTCCACCCATGTTGTCACAAATGACAAGATCTCCTTCTCTTCCGGGCTGGCTGATAGCTCACTATTTAGTAATGGTTGGGGGATTAGGTTAATTTACTGCTGATTTCAGCAGAGAAATGCCTTCTGGCAATCCTGGCCATAGGGACACTGAACCTCTCCCAGACGTAACCTCGCACCACGCTCTAGTGCCCTCTTGTGGTCAAACTCTTAAGCACAGTTGTCCTCTTAGCCTGCATTCACAAGGCTAGGCGTGGACAAGCTCCCTTCTGCTGTCCCACGGACACGGGCGGCACCCGCGTGCGAGGTTGCTCTCTCGCTTCCAGACTTGGACTGGCATTGTCCGTTGTACCGTTTTCCCCATTCCCTTGTTCTTGTAACAACTCCTTTTTTTTTTTTTAAAGATTTATTTATTTGGGCATACAGAACTGGGGTATAGGCCAGAGGCTCAGGGGGCGGTGAGAGGCTTCACCAGAGACAGAGTGGTAACAGAACAGGCAGATGGACGAAGTACACTGCTGAGGGGAGCAGCGAGCGGGTCAGGAGAGGTCTGCGGCGCCATGTGGTCACCTCTGGGGCAGGCGGGAATCGAACTCATGCGGAAGCAGCTTTAGATTCTCAGTGCTGTGCTTTAACCCGCTGCGCCACCAGGGAAGGCCCTTTTTTTTTTTTAAGATTTATTTATTTATGCATACCGAACTGGGATACAGGCCAGAGGTGAAGGGGAGGCGAGAGGATTCACCAGAGACAGAGTGGGGAGCAGAACAGGCCGATAACAGAGTACACTGCTGAGGGGAGCCATGGGCAGGCCAGGAGCGGTCTGCTGCGCCGTGTGGGTCACCTCCGGGGCAGGAATCAAACTCATGCTGAAGTGGCTTTAGCCACCAGGGAGGGCCCACAAGTCCTTTTTTTAAATTCCTATAGTGCCTTAGAGTATGGGCTGGGGGACAAAGTCAGTTGATCATTATAAACAGAAAAATCAGGCAATTTTTTTCCCCATGAAAACTTAACTGAAAACATCCTGGGGGAGGCTCTCCTGCCTGTTTTTCAGGACTTTCTACCCTTCCCTGACATTTCACCCTCTCTCTCCCAGCCATGGCTTATTAAGGCACAGAGCTGAGTGACCAGGGCATCCATACAAAGTGAACATGGTGCAGTCTGGACCAGGGGAAGATAATGCACCAGAGCTGTACTGTGGTGGAGAGAGGCAAAGAAAGAAGGGATGAAGAAAGCACAGACTTGGGAGCCACGCCTCTGCTGAGCTCACTGGGACTTGTGGTGAGAGGAAGTGTGTGTCGATAGCTCAAGTCACAGAGCCTGGGGGTACACTGTGTTCTCGGTCTCAACTGGACCTAGCAAAGGGTGAAGATTAGGTAGATAGAAAAAAGGAATCACTACAAATCAGCCCTAAATAGCACATGAACCCACGATAGTTCACTTCCGAAGTCAAAGGCATCGCTGCTCTCTCTGGGGAAGTGGCATCCATTGGGATTCGCAACACAGATGGCACGGGAAAGAAAGTGCTGTGCCGGGAGGTGGAGAAGGGTTCCACTCGGGTGTGTGTGCACCTGCACGGTGAGCACATGGGAGGTCCTCACTGGGACACAACGCATGAGTGTTCATCTCTAGCTGACCCTAGTCGAGAGTCCTTTCCAACCGCTATTCACAATAGAGAGGGCCCTCCCGGGTGGTGCAAGGGGTTGAAGCACAGCACTATAAAGCTGGCTGCGGCCACTGCAGCACGAGTTCGATCCCTGGCCAGGGAAGTGACCCATATGGTGCAGCAGACCTCTCCTGTCACCCCGCTGCTCCCTTCAGCAGTGTATTTCATAGATCCACCTGTTCTGCTCCCCACTCTGTCTCTGGTGAAGCCTCACATCGCCCCTGCGCCTCTGGTTGTACTCCATTTCCTTATGAATAAATAAATAAATCGAAAATAAATAAATAATAGATCTCACTGTCTCTGAGCATGTGAGCATATTGAGAGGCATCTCTAAACTAGGAAAAAGATTTTTCTCCACTGGAAAACTTTCTCTGACTCACAGGGTCTAGTTATTTCCTCACTTTGAAAACTTTGAAGGGAATTAGAACAATTACTGCCTTAGATGCCGCTTGCCATCACTTGGCTCCCACTGCTGTACCAGAGCACAAGCTGTTTTCTCTGGAGAGTCTCCGCTACACCTCTCTCAACCCTCTGCTGTGCCCTCTCCACTCACAAGTGGGCACAAAAGTCCTTTGTTCTGATTCTCCGCTTCTGGTGTGAAGGGGTTCTTCATTTCTGGATTTGGAGAACTAAGCTAATTATCCTGTCTGTCATCATCAGAGAAGAACACTGCCTCAGGTTTAGATTAGTGTAAAATAAAACTTAGGAGGATGGAATTAAGAAACTAAACAGATGTAAAAGGATATTAGAAGGCCCTCCCTGGTGGTGCAAGGGGTTAAAGCGCAGCACTATGATGCTCTCTGCAGCCACTGCAACACGAGTTCAATCCCTGGCCCCGGAGGTGACTCAGTTTTTTCAATTTTTTAACTATGAATAATACTGCAATATAATCCTTAGATATATGCCTCTACATTTTTACAGTACATAATTTTAAATATAATGTTAAATGTCTATAACTACATCAAACTGCTTTCCAGAAAGTTACATCAATTTATACTCTCTTGAAATGGCTGTTCTCTCAACATTAAGTGTATCTGCAGAACCTCCAGGCAGTACATTTCCATGTCAGGGTTAACTCTCTGCTGCTCTTAGAAAGGACACTAATGTGCTAGGATTCACTAATTGCACAGTGTCCTGGAAATAAGGACACGTCCCAGCCTCATCTTAGTCACTAGTCATTATTTTCTCCTTTTCTGGAAAGACTAAACTGATAGCCAAATGTTTAAATAATTTTCCAAGACACACAGCTGATCAACGCTCTGGATTTTGAAACCAGACATAAGTGATTTACACCTTTATATCAACATCTACTCCCTCCCTTACAAGTGAACCTCCTCTCCTGTTTAATAAACTTAAAACTATTCAGGTGGACAGACCTAAGGAATGATTGTGATGTAACAGAAGAGGGGAAGCTGGCAAGGCAGTCACAGCATCCAGGTGGAGACCATCAGGCTTAGCTCTTCTGCTTTACAGAGGAGACAATGATTCTCTATATTTCCATTGTGTGTCAATTCTAGGCTAAGTCATGGACCACATCTATTAAGATCCAATTTCATACACATTTACAAAGAAGGAGATGGACTAGGGAAGAAAAGGTGTGATGTCAAAAGCATGTTAGTACTAATAAAATGTGTACAGATAAACATGGTGAGATTAGGGTAGTTCACCCAGGAAACCATGGGAAATAAAGACCTATAGTCAGATTTCTGAATTAACTCTCCAGGAAGCAATAGTGAGTGTAAGATGAATAAATTATAACAGGAAAGAGAAGGCAAATACGGAGCATATAAATATTAGTTTAAAATATTTAAGTCTTTCACTTAATCAAGAGTATATTGAAGATGTGATTTTAAACAACAAAGGAATAGTCAACTGGAAGAAAAATGTCTTGATGAAAAAGATCATTTACCACTTATATTTGTAATACACACTACAACTGTAGTCAAAATACAGAAATTATTATTCAAAAAATTTACACTTCTTGATGGTCTCCATTAGCCTAAACAAAACCCGAATTCTACAGATATTGTAAGTAGCTAGTAGAACCATTAACAACAGAAACACAAACAGAGAAAGCAAGATACACACACACAGGACACACTTGGTCATTAGAAGAAATGCTAAATCATCTTATCAGTTTCTAACAAAATACAGCTCAGCTACGTAGGTCACATCATCGACTCCTGGTAGTGACTGTCCCTCATTTCTACTTGTCATTTGTGTTGTTAGGATGAAGCAGAAAGTTTTAACAGAAATATCTGGGTTCACAGAATCCAAAACCCTTCCTGGGTGAACTCTACTTCTTGAGATTAGCATTCTTGTTTTATAATACTTAGTGAGATACTGAAATAAGCAAAAGAAGCAGTTAAAGAAACCAGTCACACCCACACCCAGGAGTCATCAGTGATCTCTTTTGAAACTCCAGTCAGGCCCAGATCCTGGGAAAGATGGGACAGAAATATAAAATGTAGTTGCCCTGGAGGTAAGGGTCAGATCTACAAATTATTTTGTAGAAATAATGTTCTCAATCCACGGAACATAGCTGTGAAGGTCAGTGAAGAGAACAATGTAGCCTGTCATAATACATCCGGTTTCCCAAGACAAAATTCCTTGTAACTCATTGCCACATATAGCGGGTGCAGCCGTAATCACCTGCCAGACAAAGTAGAGGAGGTCAGAACATTCCCAGGGACCCTCAACTCCTGTGCAAAAGTGAAAGGCACTCTATCTGTCCTGTCAGGGACCCAGGACAGAAGGAAGATAATGTGAAAGCTGCTGTCTTCTGCACTAACTACCCCAACCAGCTAGTAATCTCTGGACATAAATTTCAAGTCTGTAGATGGAAGACAGCTTTCCACTCCTCCATAATCTATTCCTCCCACCTTCAATACATGATGGAAGAAGACATCATTATTCTCCAGCCCCATACTCTCTGAGTTCTTAGCCTGCCTACAAAATTCAGACCTCATAGAAGGATGAGCATTAACAAAACACAAAGAGAAAGAACAGAGATTGAGTTCATGGGCAAGTGAAATTTGAAAGGTTACCTGGCATTCCTCTTTGTTTCCTAGTAGATATCCTATACAGAACATGTCCTCGAGGTATTTTTTATCCAGTATTTTTTTACAGTTGAAGTTATGATTCAATTTAATCTTAATGCTCTGCAGGTTACCATCTGAGTTTCCTAATGTAAGAAATAAGGGAGACTTCATTCACCTCTGCATTTTCATCAGGCCTCCTGCCTTCTTATTTCCAGGGCATCTCAGAAAGAATGACAGAGGAAGAACTGATGGAATGTACCATGGATTAAGCCCCTGTAAGGTGACCAATGTCAGGGGATGGTTGTAAGAAGATGCCACATGTAAATAAGGTCTGATTCCAAGCTCTGCCATCACCAAGTTGGTGAGCTTTAACAACTAATCTCCCAGAGTCTTGGTTTCCTCATTTATAAGATATAAATCCTAAAATAACTTATCTTAATGATGTAGGATGATAACTGTATGATTAACATAGGATGTTTAGTGCCTGGTACATAGTTACTATCCAATAAATGGCAGCTATTGTCATTGGTGTAATTGACATCACTATCACTCCAATAAGATAAAGGGAAATTATTATTTTCACCAATTTACAGATTAAGATTCGAGGAAGTTAAACTATTTGCCGATAAGCCTATAATGAATGGCCAAAGCAATACTCAAACATAGATCCCTGTACACCAGCCCCTGTGTTACATATCAAGGTAATGTACACATGCAGTAGCTCAGTCAGGACTTTACTCCCAGCATCCTTCTGCTCTAGAGAGTCAATACTTATGTTCCACTTCTAGCTTTCCACCTGTGCTTGGAACTTTGCAACTGGGCCTCTGAGTTCCGATTTTTTCCCCTTCAGAGATCCTAAAGATGTGACTATATCTAAGAACACAACTAATTCTTCTTTTGACAGTCACTCACCAAATTCTCTATTGTTTAGCCAGGTGTAGACTAAGCAATCTTTGGCTTTCGTTGTCATCAGAGAGGGCCATTGAAAAGCTCTTTTGAAGAAGTAGGTGAAAGGTACAGATAACTTTATCAGCATCAGGTCATTTTTAGGAGAAGTGACAGTGAAGTTTGGGTGAATGATGATCTTCTCATAAGGTATAATTTCCCCAATAGCATCTTGGATATTTTGGGAACCACCATGAAAGATGATCTGGAGGTCTCTGAAAAATGGAGAAGAAAAAAAGGAGCCACAGCTACCACATGTGTCCAGATAGGTTGTACATGACACAATTCACCAGTGGCTGTTCACACAGGCATAATGTGAATGGCGCCTTCTGCAGTTACTCTGCAACAACTTGAGATCCACTCAGTTCTGGGAAGAAGCACCAACTCATGACTAGAAACAGCTGGAAGCAGCATGCAGATGGATAGTGAAGGCTTCCATGCGACTATTAGGGGCTCTTAGGGAGGCTCTTTTGGGGAGCTGGGAGGACAGGAACTGTGAGATCGTCAAAGGAAATGAGTAGCAGCTTACAGGATTGAAATATTTTACACCTGAGGAAAATCATGTGAATATACTATGCTCTATTCATCTCTATCATGCTTTGCTGCATTAACAGAGTTTTCTGGTGGTCCTTTAGCAAAGTCAGAGTCAAAAGTCCTAATGTTCCACCAAGATCCAGTTGATACCCACTCACTAACATGTTCAAGACCCTAAATTCAGAATAAGACATCCCTGTTCTGTCCCCTGAGGCCTCAGAGACCCCTGTGGCGTGTCTTCAACCACAACAGCGATGTAAGTACACGCTGATACCAAGCGCCAATTTTTTTGTTGACCCCCAAATGTTATGTTTATTTTGTCTCCTAAACAACAGTCATTTATCTTTTGGTCTGTCCTGTCACTCTGCTGGGATTTGGTAATAAAGTCAAAAGGAATAGAAAGAAAAAGCCTGCTAAGTCTGGTTGAGCCAACCAGATCGGAATTCTTTATTCAAGCTTTGCTTTGGGTCACTTTTCCAAGACATCATGGGAGGACTTCCATTAGTCTTGCTTGGTGTTCCTGGAACCTGCTGTGCTTAGTTCCATCCACCTAGAGCCAGGATTCTGCCAGACCCCTGGTCAGCAGTAGTGGCTGTGGACAATATGTCCTTAAGGACCACTGCAGTGTTGCTGGGTCAATTGAGTCTGCTTGGCCCTCCACACCAAATCTGGGCTTCCTCATCATGAAATCTGCATGCCAGCTCTCTAGTTGGCATAATTCTCCAAGAACAATAGGAAATTGCAGCATCCATTTTGAAAAAAAGTGATAGGCAAATACCATTAATAAAATCACTATTATGGAAAAAAAAATGAATTTACATGTGCTCTTGTGACAAGACCAAGCTGGTTTCTTGGAAAGATACATTAGAACAGAAAGGGGAGAAGCTTGCTTGTTATCCAAATGAGAGATCACTTAACGACTCCCTTCTTCCATTTTCATACCCTACAGATCACTGAGTACTGTAAAAATACTGAGTATTTTTACAACTTGATGGAACTGTTCAGCCCAGCTTATTGTTCAGACTAGCAATAGTAGCTTTCTAATGTGTCTGTGGTCATCTAGTTGACGTTTTTCCATTTCTAAGGCCACTTTCTTGGTTGCAGAACGTAATTCACGTTTACGGTATTAATGTAATAATTACCCAAAAGCATTCACCCTTTTATATTTTCTTCCTCTGCTTCTCCTTTTTTCCTTCTCTTAAGGAACTTCTTAGCTTATAATAAAATGTATTTGTAAATAAAAAGAAAAATGAAGACAATTAAATTAAGGAGTGTCCATGTTATGACACAAAGATGACTCTAGTTATGGTGATGGATTTTTACTTCAAACAACTCTATGTCATGCAGAATTAAACTCTGATGAGGAAACAAGACAGCACTTGCCTCTAAGGGCTGTGGATGGAATATAACAGAGAAGGGGCACAGAAGGGCTTGAGGATATTATTTAACTGTAGACTTTGTTACATTAAATACAACATTAAGTAGCTAAGAAAATACAATACGCATATTCCACAGCAAAAAAAGAAGAAATTAAATATAAGTTCTTTAAACATTAGTCTAATGAAAGGACAAAAAATATTTTGATATGAGTAGAAGAAATTCAAATTAGGTAGAAACAAGTCTAAATATACCAATAATCAAAATAAATACAAATAGTCTATACTCACCAGTTAAAAGATAAAACTTGTGATGTTATATATGTTTCAATCCTTCCATACATAAGTTAAGAAGTGTGCTTAAATCCGAAGGATACAGAGAAGTGGAAGTGAAAAGATATAAAACAATGTACCAGTACATTACCAGCCAAAATAAAACCAGAATTAGTATATTAACAGCTGGCAATTAGGCTTTAAAATAAAAAATATTATCTACAAGAGAGAAATAATGACATATAACAATCTGTTTGATTTACCAGAAATATACAAGGTTCCTATTTTAAATTACTTAAACTTAGAAAGTCTCATAAAATGACCTAAAAATACATTTTTAAAACACAAAAAATTGATAAACTTAAATGGCTATTTTTATCAATCTACTTATACAGAGGAGTTTTGCAGCACAGTTTTCTCAATTACTGGTATCGAGCAAAAGAAATTAATAAAAACATAGATATAAGAGATTGCTACTACACAATCAAAAAGTTTGATACATCCAGCATATATAGAACCTTCCTTTCTAAAATATACACTCCTTCCAGTACACAAGAAACATTTTTAAAAATTTACCCAATACTTCTCCAAAAAACAAGGTTTGTCTATTTTAAAAGAATCACTAACATCATGGTTCATATTCTCAGGCCATAAAACAATTAAATTAGGACTCAAAAGATTTCTTTCTAATTTGGATAGTTACACTCCCAAATTCACAAAAATTCACAAAATACAATCTAACCTTATGAAAAATTTAGTGCCATGGAAATTTTAAAGTGTATTTAGAATCTAAGCAACCATGTAAAATGGTTCATGTCAAAGCTGCTGGACAGAAAATCCACAGGAACAAATTATTAGAAATAGTAAGAGATTATAGCAAAACAACAAACTATTGGATCCATTTATACAAGCCAACTGCATTTCCATCATCACCAATAAAGAGAAAATAGAACTGATTGGAGTACATGGATTAAAATACGGAAAAATCTGAAGTACTTTAGAAATAAATTGAATAAGACATGTATTAAGACAGTCTTACTTAGCATAAGATTCTTGAAATACATCAAAGGAAACCTAAATAAATAGCGATGTTCCAGATACATGGTTAGAAATTAATCAATATCAGAATAATATCAACTGTTCCCAACCAATATAAAGGTGACTTTAATTTTAATATAAATATGTAACTAACTATTCCTGATGAAGAATAAGGTGGCTGGTCTACACTTTCAGATGTCACAAATTATCATAGTCATAATTATTAAGAAATTATTATATTTATAATAAATAATCCAGTGGAATAGCATAGAAAGCTCAGAAACCGACCCATTCACAAATAGTACTCCAATTGGTTACAGAGATGGTACTGCAGGAAATTCACACTGGGACAGAAGGAGCCATTAAATAAACTTTTACTGGATTTAAAAACAAAATTGGATCCCTACCTCCTTCATTCACAAAAATCAATTTAAAATCTGTACTAGCAAATTTAAAAGGGCTTTCAGATGTTGGGGGTCATAGGATATTTTCAAGTAGGCACAAAACCACAAATAATAAATTGAATTATATTGACGTTAAGGGCACTTACTAATCAAAACATACCATAGAGAAGACCACAATATAGAAAGTGGAAGAAGATATTTTCAACATATGTAAATGACAGAAGAGTAATATCTAGAACACTTACAAAAGTCCTACAAAGCAATTTTAAAAGTCATTGCATAAAATGAATTGCCACAGAGAGTACTGAACAAAAGAAATGTGATTGGAAGATGATGAGGGAAAGGGAGGATACTAGTCATCATTCCTAAGGGTAATAAAATCGAGAGTATAATAAGATACTCGACACATTCAAAAAAAAATAAATAAATAAATTGAACGATACCCAGTGTTTGAAGATCTCTTATAAATGCTAAAGTATTTGTAAAATTCAACATCTACATTTTTTATGACCTAGAAATTCCAGTTCTGCTGTCATACACTAAAGGTATATGCCAAGAGCCATACTTGCAGATATGTGTCATTATGTATCTACCCCAAGACAGACACATAAGAATTGCGTGTTTAAGGTACATGGTACAAATATAGTTACAATTTTCAAACTACCAGAAATCCAAAAAAACACTCAAATGCCCAAAGCAAGTGAAGAATGTGTTTTTAAAAATCCCTGAAAACGGGCCCTCCCTGGTGGCGCAGCGGGTTAAAGCGCAGCACTGAGAAGCTAAAGCCACTTCCGCATGAGTTCGATTCCCGCCTGCCCAGGAGGTGACCACATGGCGCGGCAGACCTCTCCTGACCCGCCCGCTGCTCCCCTCAGCAGTGTACTTCGTCGATCTGCCTGTTCTGTTCCCCACTCTGTCTGTGATGAATCCTCTCACCCTCCACATCTCTGGCCTGTACCCCAGTTCTGTATGAATAAATAAATAAATAAATCTTTAAAAAAAAAAAATCCCTGAAAACGTGAAGAATGAATTTCAGGGATTTTTTCACATATGTGCGTTGCTATTGCATACATGTTATTGCATCTGTATTGTTACACCATACTACTTTTCCTTTCCGGATATGTTAAAGGACATGGGAGATTCCTTAGCCAAATCTGAACTGAGTAGCTGAGCTCTCTTTCAATATCAAAACTCTAGGGTTCCCAACCAGCGCAGATATTTTAGAATTCTCACAGGGGTAAACTGAGGCCCAGTCTTGGCACCTAGCCCAAGGTGAACTTACGCCCGCACTTACGGTAAGAAGCAGTGTGCCGATGTCACCACCCACTGTGGGGCAATCGGAGTCCCCACACATGACTGGTAACTGGAGCGCAGGTGTAGTAAGAGAAGATGATCTAAACTTTTCGTGTCTTCTCTGTCAAATGAAATAACACCTGAAATAGAAAAGAATCAAGAGATATAGCCCAGGCAAAATCTCACAACTCCAGTGTCAGATAATATCAATATTTGTCAGTTATTAAACACTTAGCTTCTGCTCTAAGATAAGAGTACCATCCTGTACACACGCTGAATGAAGTACTCCAAGCAATTTTAAAGTTTTGATTTCCATGGAAAAAAAACTATAAGATGGGTAAATTTTACATTATTTTATAGGTTAATAACTGCGTGTCCTTAAAAAAAAAAAAAACAGACACTGCCTTTTTCATGTTACATTAACAGGTGGGTTCAGAGAGGTGAGGGTATTTATTCCAGGCATCATAACCATGAAGTAGGAGAGCATACTGTCTAACTGCAACGCCATATGAATTTCATGTGGAGGTTACTTAGTTTATAAGTAAGCTCAGCTGCCTCTTCAATGAAATGAGACTAATAATGCTTATCTTACAGTTGTTATACAAATTAACTGAGGGGCTTCTTTGGTGATGCAAGGGATGAAAGACAACATTATCGCAACATTATGAAGCTGCTGCTGCAGCACGCGTTCAATCCCCGGCCAGGGAGCTGACCCACGGGGTGCAGCAGACCTCCCCTGTCTCACCCCCTGCTCTCCTCAGCAGTGTACGTCAGTCAACCTGCCTGTTCCGCCCCCCACTCTGTTTCTGATAACTCCACACACCCCCACACCACTGGCCTACACACCAGTTCTTGTGTGCACAAATGAATCTTTTTCAAAAATTAAATGAGTTAATATGCAGAAAACAGAAAAGTATCCTTATGTAACTATGTGCTTTTAAGGTGGTAATTATTATTATCATTACATACTATGTTTTAAAGCCCAAGTTTCAGCAGAAGACCTGCTGGGTTTTGTTTCTGTGTCTTTTTATATCCACCCCTTTTGGGGTGATCCTCCATCCTCGTATACCTCAGGGTTTCAATCCAAGAATTTCTATCAGACATTCAATGGAGGTGGGAGCCTGTAATAAAAAGTTTGAGTTGGAGCCTACATATGATTAAGGCTTTATAGAAAATGGCTAGTTTGTTACCCAAACCTTCAAGTTCCTGGTCTATCAGTTCTCCCTCTCCCTCTGTACAGCTACACAGTCTCAAACTCACCCACCCCCAATAAGGTCCTCATGAACCTGACAACTTCTCTCACTCACCAGTCACCATCAGCAAGATTGACAGAATACACTTCATCTTGATGCCTGAATCCTGCCCTAAGGATAAGCTCCAGTGGAAATTGGCAGACACAAAGCAAGGATAGAACTTTCTCCTGTTAGGGGATTCTGCAGAGTGGGAGGGGTAGCAGGTAGGAGAACAGAGGATGAGTATTCTACAAAATTGTCTATATAGAAATGTCCTCCCAGTCGTGATCTTCGTGCATAAAAGGATTCATCATCACACCTGCTTGATCTGTTAGGCAAAGAAATCTCAGTCTAACCTAAAGGAACATGAGTTCTAGGCACCTGGGTTTAATCCACATCGTTTGGGGGGTAAAATTCCAATGTGGATCTCTGTGACCCCTTCCCTAGCCTGTCTGCTCTTCTCTCTAGTTCCTTCCCCACAATCTATGACTAGACCCTCTCCCCCTCATGCCTTAATAACCCTTCTCCTTTCTGGGCAGCCTGATGACAGGGAGCTGTGTCCCCACCCCCGTGTGTGATGCCGCCCCCCATGATTGTCACACTCGGCCCACCCACCACCCTTCTCACCATCCCAACATCTCCAACCTCAGCACTACTAAGACTTCCCAGCCAACATCACAACCAGTGACACTTGCAGCTCTTTCAACCTGTTCTTACTCTGTTGTCCTTTCAGACACAGCTTGTACACACACACTTCTTCTCTCTCTTCCCCCGCTCCAATTTATTTTTGGTGGCAAAAAAAGAATACAAACATTTCTTCCATAAAAAATCCGATACACGGCAGAATGAAACAATAATAGATTTTGAGTCCCTAGAAAACTGAGATTCTGTGGCATGAGACTGGAGACAGGTGTGTCTCCACATGGGCATAAAACCTGGCCACTAATAATTTAATTTAAAAAATTAAAAATGAAAAGAAATGGTGAGTATCTCACACACACCCGCCTATAAGATTCTAATGCTATTTTTTCAAAGAGAAGTTTTAAGAACACAATTCCTATCAGATCAGTATTCTTCAAGAAAAAAAGGGAGGGGGAAGAATAAATGGGATTGGCAGATCGAACAAAGGCTAATATAATACAAACATGCATGCATGTGGGAACAAGAAAATTCACACTTGGAAGTACCTTGGTGGGCCTGACAAAAGTGTTTGGAGGGGCGGCAGGAGCGAGTAGCAAAGAGGGAGCATGAGGAAGATTGAGGGGAGTCCATAAACTGTGTTAGAGTTAACATTTTTCCAATATTATTTTATATAATTTTTTACATCATTCTGCATTCTGTACATTTTTTCATCTAGGTTGCAAACCACGTGGCTTCCCACCACCACTTCACCTGTGTGCCATCACCACAGTCCCGTGTGCTCTTCCCACCCCAGTTTTGATCCTGTTCCTCTCTCCTCTCCTGTAGAACATCATCTCTGGTTTATAGTTATTAGTTGATGCTTGCTTTTACTTTATTTACAATTACTATATAGCAAATTAAAGAGCTTCAGTACAGCAAAAGAAATACTACACGAAACAAAAAGACTCCCCACTACACAAAACAAAAAGACACCCCACTAATTGGGAGAAAAATTTTGCATGCAAAACTAATAATAAAGGACTGATCACAAAAATATACAAAGAACTGGTGAAACTCAAGAAACATAAAGTGTTAGAGTTAAATTTATGGGAGCAGGGAAGTACTGAAGAGTTTTAAGACGACAATAGCGCAGCTAACTTCTTCTGTCCCATCCACTGCTCCCTCGGCAGTGTATTTCTGCAGTCCAGAGATTAAAAGAGAGTTCTGGGAAAAGGGGAGAATGTCAGGTTGAACAAGGGTGAGGAGGGACAGGCATAGGTCACGAGAGACAGACTACAGCCTGAGTTAGGAGGGCAGTGGTGAGAATAGAAAGATACTGGTGACTTTAAGAGGCTTCTGAAGTAGAACAGACTTTGGAATTCAGTGGTGAGAAAAAAGAGATCAAACAAATGGAACATACAATTGCCTCCTAAGATAAGAAAAAAGGGCAGAAAGGTGGAGATAGAGTGATAGGAATGAGTTTAATTTTTTAAAGAGTTATTTTATTTATTTATGCATAAAGAACTGGCCAGTGGTACAGGGGGTGAGCGGACTCTCCAGAGAGAGAGTGGGGAGCAGAACAGGCAGATCCACTGAAATCCACTGCTGAGGGGAGCAGCAGGGAGACAGGAGAGGTCTGCTGCACCCTGTGGGTCAGCTCCCTGGACAGGTATTGAACTCAGGCCACAGTGGCTGCAGATAGCTTCATGGTGCTGAGACTTAACCCCTTGTGCCACCCGGGAGGCCCAAGGAGTTGAATTTCGACATGCTAAATATTCAGGACTTAGAGGACCGCCAAAACAATGTTTTCCAGGAGGAAGCTGTATATCTGGGCTAGAGATGCCAATTGGAAACCCATAGAAAACCTGTGATGTTTAGAGATCTTCTCCTATATTGTGCCTCTGCTTTTCTGCCTTTGTGGTTGGGCTCCCAAACCATTTTCAAGCTTCCTCCCTGGCCCATAATCTTTCCCAAAGATCAAGGCATGACCTTAGAGTAAAGGTATATCTCTTACTCAACCTCTCACCAATTTTAACTCATCCCACCCCTACCACAGAAAACCTTCCACAACTCCATCCCGTCTTCAAAATTTAAGCATCTTTCATAAATCAGTCCTGCACCCGCTGTGACTCCAGCTTGGTGGAAAGTTCAGGGAAGTATGTTTCATGCTGTTTTTCATTTCACGCACGAGGGAATTTGTCCAAGGGACATGTATTTTTCTAAGATCCACGAAGGCTGGCTGATTAGCTGATACAGGGAGGATGTGGTTGAAAAGTTGTGGGGATCCAGTAATAAGCTGCAGATCTGACTTGCAACCATGTGCACTTCTGAGAAAACCACTCAAATCTATCTCATTTCTGCCACTTACATATCAGAAAAAATAGCACCAGTCCCAGCTGTCTCCTCCTCCCAAGATTGTTAACATTGAAATGAGATTATAGGCTTAGGAAATTTTAAAGAGTTAGAATACAAACAGGGCCCTCCCTGGTGGCACAAGGGGATAAAGTGCAGCACTATGAAGCCACTGCAGCACCAGTTCGAGCCCAGCCAGGGGGTCTCAAAACACAAGACGCAGCAGACCTCTCCTGTCTTGCCCACTGCTCCCTTCAGCAGTGTACTTCAGTACATCTGCCTGTTCTGCTCCCCACTCTGTCTCTGGAGAGTCACCTCTTGCACCTGTGGCCTGTACCTCAGTTCTTGCATGCATAAATAAATAAATCTTTTTGTTAAAAAAAAAAGTCACACAAAGTACAATTAATTTTACATCCCAGACGAAACTGATTTAAAATCACCAGTGAAAATATCTGTGGAGAATGTGGTGCGCGGTGCAGTGCCCAGGATTCCATGAAGGCTCACAGGGTGTTGGCTATCAACACTGCTGCTCACTGCCTTGGGAGTGTACCCCCAACTATCCAGGGATGACCCCAGAAGTCTGTGAGTGACTGAGAAGTCTTATCATTAGGTGACAGGCGCTCAGAGCCCTGCCTTCCGACCTGCCACCACGTGCGGTAGCCCCTAGATACAGCATCATCTAGAATGTGCTTCATTCCCTGACTTAAACTAGCTGATTTCCACTTCTCCCCTGCTCGCAGCTGCTGAGCAGTACATCCAAACTGGTGATGCTCACTGAGTGATGAAATAGTGATCAAAGGCAAAGATGAAGTAGTGTAATAAAGATGGGAGGGGCTGAGGGGAAATACAAATAGCTGTTAGGGGGTTCAGGGCAAATGTGACGCAGTGTCTTCCTGACTAAGGTGGAGAACCCAGCCCCCCAGTCCCCGCCCCAGAAACTGCATGGGGAAGACCAGTCCTGAGCCTCGAGCTCACTTTCCCACGACAGAGGGATTCCATGAGGCAGATGGGCTGTAGGCCAGAGGCTGAAGGGGGTGAATCGATCAGGGGCTGGGCTTCTTTCTCCTTTCCGCAAAGCCAGAGAGGCACAGGCAGCACACCCACCCCACCTGTGTGCTGGGCAACTTCTTCCTCCCCCGCCTACCCGGGGCTGCTCGGCGTCCACCCGTGTCCCCAGGTCTAACCATCCTCCCTGCTTCTACCAGGTGTTCCTGGGAAGCCTGCGCTGAGAGAGTCACGCTCTGCTGAGCTTCGACATCTCACAGAGAAAGATCTGGACGGCTATGAAATTCATCTTGTGTTTGGGTGTCCTTGCCGGTAAGTATCCGTGACCACCTAGTCTGTCCTATAAAGCGCTGGTGAAAGCAGGGCTGACCTGAGGCAGGTGTGGACTCTGCAGAGGACTCGAAATTAGAGTCATCAAAAGGCTCTCAAGACAGGCCAAGGCTGCACTTCCAGCGCCAGCGGTGGGGTGGGCTGGGCTGGGGCACACCTGCCAGGAACTTCGGAGAGTCATTTCCGGCCCTCCCTGGTGGTGCAGCGGGTTGAAGCTGGCCACAGTCGCTTCTGTGCGAGTTTGAGCCCCGGCCCGGAGGTGATCCGCAAGGCGAGGCAGACCTCTCCTGTCTCCCCGCTGCTCCCCTCAGCAGTGTACTTAATCTACCTGTTCTGTTCCCCGTTCTGTCTCTCGTGAGTCCTCTCACGCCTCTGTACCTCTGGCCTGTACCCCAAAACTGTATGCATAAACAACTCTTTAAAAACAACAGTGTCATTTCCCTCCCCCACCCCCATTCCAAATTGTGGGTCAAGTCCCAGCACCATCACAGTGGCAAAGAACACACTTTGACTTCTCCCCTTCTGCAAAAGTTTAAAGATTCAAAACACAGGAGTGAAGGAAGAGGAAGGAATACCGGGTTCTGCCTCCTGCAGTCTTTGAATTCCAGGAATTCTGGCGGGAGGGTGTGTGGAGGGGCCACACCCCGAGATCCCTGAACACCTAGTGGCTGCACATAGTTTGCTACCTGAGTTTAGACAAATTAGCTCATCTTTGTTTCAGTTCCCTCATTCAAAACCAGGCATTTGTCCTATGATTACAGTGACCTTATGAAGATTAAATAAATCCATATGAGGCCCATGAAAACGATTTCAATGTCTCATCTTCATGATACTCTCTCTCCCTTTAGGGCTTCTGACACAGAGAAGTAGGGGCAAGTCGGGGAAAGGCTCCTCCTTTAATTCTGATGCTTGAATGAGCCTTTGCCGCCTTTCTTCTCTCTGTTTTTTAAATGTCATTTCTAAAAGCATTGCATGTTTATATCAGTAAACTTGGAGATAGTAAAAAATAGAAAAGACAAACATCATTTATAATCCCTGCGCTCAATCACTTCATGTCAACAATGTTGAATTCCCTCCAGGTGCTATAGATTTTGTGTGTGAACTTTTGTTTACTTGCTCTTAAACAACCAGATTACTGGCTCTAATGTAAATTTATATTATTTCTATCAATCTCCCTTTCCGCAGAATATTCTTAATAAGTTCCACTTTAATAGAGACAGCGCCCCATTTGGTCATGTCCTTTTTCATGCCAATGTCCAGTGTTACCACTGCCTCGGATATTTCGTGCCCAGTATGTAAACAGTGCTAAAGAGTGTTCTTGTTCGTGGTCTGTGTCTATCTCTGATTATTTCTTGGGGTCAGATTCTTGGGGTCTGAATTATTATCACAGGTGATGCTCCAAGTATGATTCCTGATACCCATTAGTAAGTTGCTTTCCAAAAAGAGAATCAGCTCCTATTTGACAAGGTGTGAATGGGCATTTCTTTGCACTTTCTTGGATCAAATACTGTCAACATTAAACCAAAAAAAAAAAGATTATTATAAATATTAGAAAAACAACTTCATTTACTTGATCATTAGGTGTAAGAACACCTCCTACACTAAGACTATTGATTATTTTTCTCAGGGGCAGTGCTCTCTGCTCACTCGCTTGTGCAGAAGGAAGACCATGCTCCGTATTTGGTATACCTCAAGTCCCACTTCAACCCCTGTGTGGGTGTCCTCATCAAAAGCAACTGGGTGCTGGCTCCAGCTCACTGCTACTTACCGTGAGTGTTGACCACACCACCACCCCGCCCCACCCAACAGCCTTTTATGCATTCCACATCAATGCTCTCACACAGAGGCAGCCATCCCTCCAAGGGTGTATTCGGCAAAGTCTGAAGATACTTCTGGGTGGCACAGTAGAGCCTGGGGTGAGGGTCTGTGCCAGTGGCATCTAGCTGGCGAGCAGAGGCCAGGGCCAGAGAGCTGCTAAACAACCCACAAGGCACAACCAAGACTTCCCAGTCCAGACGGCCACTCGTGCCAGAGCTGCACAACCACGTTCTGCACCTGATGCCTCCCAGTCTCCCGTCAGTTCAAGCTTGAGACTGGTTCTGTGCACAGTACCTGATGGCATACTCTAGTCAGGCAACTTGAGGAGTGTTTTTAATAAGAACTAATGACAAAGGTGTGGACAAGAAATAGAGAAAACAAAGTAAGCCAGTACTCCTAGGGTTAGTATTAGAAAGGTGCAATTACTACTCCAGGGCTAAAGGGTGAGGATGGAAAGAAAGAGAGTCAGGACACACAAATAAGTGAAAGGGGGTAAGAGGTGGGAGGGGAAGAAAGGGAGTTCTCTCTGGAGAGATATGCCTGCTAGGAGCCATAACCTCTGGCAACAGTCACCTATGGCCACCAGGCTGAAAGGCAGCAGGAAACATAAATATTCTAACTTCACTCTTCACCCAATTATTTCTGGTGCTTCCTAATTAGTCAATCCCAATCAGAAGCAAAATTCCACACATATCACCTTCCAGAGGCCAGCGCAGGGTGACACGGGTTAGGTTGGGCGTGACTCTGATGAAGACTATAGGAGCTAGCCAACCCCCAGGCTCTTAGCCTCAAGAATGCAAATACCCACTGGGTAAGCTGGAGCTCAGAGGAGGGAGTGTATCTCTATGCCATGCAAATATCTTCCTTCCACACACGGAGAACACAGCATCTGACACTGTAGTGCAGGACTCCACCCTTCACTGCACACTCACTGCGCCATTGTGACTGAGCTACTTCTACGCACCTCCATTGCTTCCCTAGTAAAATGGGGATGAGAAACAGAATCCAGGCCCTCCCTGGGGGCGCAACGGGTTAAAGCGCAGCACTGGAAGTTAGCCCCAGTCTCAGGAGTTCGAGCACCTGCCCAGGAGGTGACCCACGCAGGGCTGCAGACCTCTCCTGACATACCTACTGCTCCCTCCAGCAGTGTACTTCATCGGTTTGCCTGTTCTCCCAACTCTGTCTCTCACCGTGCCTGCACCCCAGTTCTGTGTGCACAAATAAATAAATCTTTAAATAAATAAAATATAATAAAATAAAAACAGAATCCACCTTTCATATCCACCTCAACTGTCACTAACGGGGGTGCTCGAGGAGGCAGCCCAGAACCCAGACAAAACACTTGGCACACGGGAACACTCACTAAGAGTGCTGATGGGGGGAAGGTAGTGCTGATAGGGATTACTTGTCACCCCTTTTCCCTCCAGAAATCTGAGAGTGGTACTGGGCAATTTCAAGATCAGAGTCCGAGATGGAACTGAGCAGATAATTAACCCCATTAACATTATTCGCTACTGGAACCAGAGTCACAGCAACCCCCAGGATGACCTCATGCTCATCAAGCTGGCCAAGCCCGCCGTGCTCAACCAGAAAGTCCAGCCCATCGCCCTCGCCACCAGCAGCGTCCGCCCCGGCACCACCTGTGTGCTCTCGGGGTTGGACTGGAGCCAGGACAACAACGGTGAGCCCCCGCCCCACACGCTAGGCCCCAGCGAGCCAGGAGGGCACCCAGGCCAGCCGGGTGACCAGAGGGAGGCACAACGCAAGTTGGGGGGTGTCGGAGCTGCCCGGACGTCCAAAGTCCTCCTTTCCCAGGGCTCCTGTGTCCGCTACTTCCTTGGGATTCGGTGCTGGGGCCGCGAGGCTGGGGAGGTGGCACAGAGGCACCCCCTTTCCCGGAGGTCAGAGGGCGCCATGCACCCTGGAGGCTGTGTTTGCCCCTCCCCGAGGTCATCCTACCCAAACAAGGCACCCCAGAGCCTTGAGTGGGGCTACCCTACTCCTGCAAGACTGGACAGAGCAGAAAGAAGCTGTCTTTTGGAAAGAATCATCACGGCTAAGACTCTCACCACCGAGTACAGTCGCATCCTCCCTTGCTTCCCTCAGTCCTTTCCAGACACCACACAGAGCGCCTGTGGGGGGGGGGGGGGGCAGTGCTCGGGCAGGCTACATGGCAGCTGTGAACAGGACGGTCGCTTTTGCCCCACCCCCCCACCAGGCAGACACCCTGACTTGAGGCAGAGCCTGGAGGCTCCGGTGATGTCTGACAGAGAGTGCCAGCAGACCGAGCAAGGGAGGGCGCACCGGAACACCTTGTGTGTCAAGTTTCTAAAAGTGTTCAGCCGAATTTTTGGGGTAATCTTTTCTCTATAGTCACCTTTCATTGACTTGTACGTGTCTAGGTAACTATATGTGACTTTTTTTTTTTTTAAAGATTTATTTATTTGTACATACAGAACTGGGGTACAGGCCAGAGACTCAGGGGCAGTGAGAGACTTCACCAGAGACAGAGTGGGGAACAGAACAGGCAGATCAACGAAGTACACTACTGAGGGGAGCAGCGGGCGGGTCAGGAGAGGTCTGCCACGCCATGTGGGTCACCTCCGGGGCAGGCGGGGATCGAACTCATGCGGAAGTGGCTTTCGCTTCTCAGTGCTGTGCTTTAACCCGCTGCGCCACCAGGGAGGGCCACTATATGTGACTTTTAAAAAAGATTTCTTTATGCATATGAGCACTGGGGTTCAGGCCAGAGGTACGGCGGGGGGCATGTTGGGGGGGGCTGAGAGGATCCACCAGAGACAGAGTGGGGAGCAGAACAGCAGGATGGACTGAAATACACTGCGGAGGGGAGCAGCGGGCAGAAGGGGAGGGGTCTGCTGTGCCATGGGGGTCACTCCCTGGCCAGCCTGGGATTGAACTCGTGCTGCAGTGCCTGGCCTCGGAAGCCCTTAATTGTAAAGTTTTTAGCACTTAGAAAGCCCAGTCTGGTGTTTTGAGACTGGTGAGGCCACAACCCAGGCCCTGTGTGTCCTTTGGAATGGGCTGTCCCGACAGCCCTTCTTTTCCAAAGGGCATCACACACCACTTGACGTGAATTAACCGCCAAGCTCCTCACGGCCACATGTGAAAATGGGCATTGGCTGAAAAAATTAATTTGAATGTCCATAAACTGGAACGGGCTTCACTAGTTCAAAAAATGGGTTTGGCCGTTTTACACAGGAGTTCTAGAAAGGCTCCTCTCTGCCTGTCTCAAGGTCACAAAGGCAAGTTGGGCGAAGCTAGTGGTGGGAACTGTGCTCAGTGCTCTCTCCCAAGCCAGGCCGGGCTCTCCTGCACGTGCTCGGTGCCGAGGTGACCTAACCCTCTCTGCCTCTGTCCCCATCACTGTGCCATCTTCTGCAGGAAGTCGCTGTAGCAACTGTTATCTGCAAAAACAAGCTCCATGGGATCGAGGTGGGACACTTCATGGGAGGAGACGTTGGCATCTACACCAGCGTTTATAAATACGTATCCTGGATTGAAAACGTCACTAAAGACAAATGAGACCCCTCTATCCCCTCTGCATCCAGGGGCTGTGCCGGGAGTGCTGAACAAGCCACTACCTCCCCCAAACTCAAGAAAATAAAAACCTCTACATAAATATCTCTGGATGCAGCACACCAGCTGCCCTGTGTTCCTGTTTGGCTCTGTCCTTCGCCCATGATGATGTGAAAAACCAAGAGCAAACCCTGAAATGGGCACTTGATATTATTAGTAGATGGCATCCACTATCGCGTTTAATGCTCACAAGTAACTCTCATCCCCTTTACAGATGAGCAAAGTGAGACTAAACAGGTCACCCAACATTACCCATCAGACATCAGAGATATCAGAGCCTGGCATGGAACCCCAAATGTCAGTCTGATGGCCATGCTCTTGGCCTCAATATTATAGTGGAGTCCACGGCAGCATAACAGATGTTGGCTTCTGTTATCCTGATACCTCTATTTATGTTAAGGGCTAAATGTCTCTCCTAAGGTGAAGAGCCCCACTACAGAAATAAGTTCTCTTAGGAAAGCCATGCTTCACCTCTGCTGCAGGGAGAGAGCCAGGGGGTGGGGAAGAAGTGAAAACAGAACTAGGACAGGGCCAATTCCTATAAACCCAGTGCAGGGAAGGTCTGGTGGCTTCAGAGCAAGTGAATAATCCCCCGGAATATTACACCACACTAACACGTCCATCTTCAGTGTTTGAGAATACACGTGCTCCTGTAATCTTGATAACACCTATGAACCTCTCTTTAAATCTTCGCTTACTGGACAAACACAACATGGTATCCAAAAAGTCTTATCTCTTATGGGTAATGAAAATTATGTTTATATTAACTATTCCAGTTTCTTCATCTTTTAATTGACTCTAAAGACATCTTTGTTCTTTGGTATGGTTTCATTTTTAATCATTTTATAATGATTATGAATCTTCCTGAAGACATGTGTTCAATTATACTTTTTTCTCAGTTTATCTTTTGCCATTTAAATTCACATGCACAGTGCTTACAATATGCAAAAGTTCCATATTTTTATGTAGTGAAATATCTAAAGTTTTGTATGATTTTTCTCCTTGATGACAGACTTAGAAATTCTTTCCATATCCCATCATTTTTAAATATTCACTCATATTTCCTTCTTGCATTTCAGTTTCATTTCTTGCATTTTATTCTTTACCTCAAATTTTATATATTTTAAGTGGCAAGTAAAAATCTTACTACATTCTGATTGGCAACTTGTTGCCAGCACCATTTATAGAATGATCCTTTTTCCAAAAACTACATTTATCATATGCTACACTTAACACCTTTTTCTGGCATTTCCAGCCTATCTTTAATTATTCCTTGCCAGTACAAATGTTTAAAATGATTTTTTACAAAGACTAGTATGATAGAAATGTTAAGGCTAAATATTTGTAGCTACTACAACATACCAGAAACTCTTCTTCGCAATTTACATCTATTAACTCATTGAGCTGTGTGCCAAACAAATCTCCCTCTTCCAAGTGACATATGTGTTCTTCCAAAACTTCAAACTCTTCCAAATCATGTAAAAACAAATTAAAGTACTTCCAGGGTAGACAATGGAGGTTACCGAGGACCTACACAATGCTGTAACCAGAGCATTAGCTAACAAAAAACAAAATCCTACTAAAATGCCTAGAAAAATGCATCTCTGTGACCTTTATGTCCAGTTTCAGTAAATGGTTCACAGCCTCTAAATGGGGCTTTTGGCTTCTTTACATAGTTTCTCCTGCCTGAATCATCTCCAGTGATATAAACAGATTTCTTTAATTCAGTTGTGAATATGCTAGCACATCCTTCAAAGTCCTTTAGGACTGCAAAATTTTCTTTATTAAAACATTTCATGGCCTTTCCTGGTGGCGCAGCGGGTTAAAGCACAGCACTAAGAAGCTTAAGCCACTGCCCCATGAGTTCGATTCCCGCCTGCCCTGGAGGTGACCACATGATGTGGCAGACCTCTCCTGACCCGCCCACTGCTCCCCCCAGCAGTGTACTTCCTCGCTCTGCCCATTCTGCTCCCCACTCTGTCTCTGGTGAACCCTCTCACCCTCCACATCTCTGGCCTGTACCTCAGTTCTGTATGAATAAATAAAATCTTAACAACAACAAAAAAAAATTCAAAATTTGCTCACTAACCTCATAAAAATCAATCCACTAAGCCTTCATGGATAACTTTATAATGGACTCCCTGTTTACTCATATGAAGTATATTGCTAATCAAAAAAAAATTTCTAAGCATTTCTTTCTGTCATGAGAAAAAAAGAATAAAATATTTTCTAGGATAAAATGTAATGCAAAAATGTTACTCTTCTGTATTATTGAAAGGTGTCACTTATTCTTGATCTGCTCTTTCCCAGTCTTATAATTTTTTTGAATGTTTATTTATTTATGCATAGAGAACTGGGGTACAGGCCAGACGCTCAGGGGCAGTGAGAGAATTCACCAGAGACAGAGTGGGGAGCAGAACAGGTGGATCTACTGAAACACACTGCTGAGAGGAGCAGCGGGCCGGACAGGAGAGGTCTGCTGCGCCCTGTGGGTCAGCTCCCTGGCCGGGGATAGAACTAGTGCTGAAGCAGCTTTCACTTGCTTCCTAGTGCTGTGCTTTAACCCACTGCGCCCCCATGGAGCGCCCTAAACTTTTCTTTAGTCTTTGTATTCTTAAATGGCTCTAGAATGTACTCGAGAGTGATAGAATCCTCTGATCTCTCTTGTTTGGTACCTTTGATCTTTCTAAATCAAGGGATTTTTCTTGATTGTTCCTTGTCTTCTCAGTAGTAATTGAGAAAAAGAAAAACCATACAGGGCATAATTTCACCGAATCACTGAACTTTTAATGTCAAATGTGTATATTTAAAAGAACTGTGATGATTTTTTTCCTTGTAATAAAAATTCTTTTAATTAAATCAAGGGTTTTTAAAATCTGTCTTTAACTCGGTACATTTCTTGATTATTAATTCTTTAAATATTTCATTATTTCTCTCTTTTTCCTTCTCTCTCTGGGACTTTTTTTATATAGATATGACCCTTTTCTTTGTGCCACATAACTTATTTTTTTAAATATTTATTTATCTGTGCATACAAGAACTGGGTACTCTAGAGGTGCAGGGGGTGAGATGATTCACCACAGACAGTGTGGGGAGCAGAACAGGAAGAGCTATTGAAATACACTGCTGAGGGGAGCAGCAAGCGACAGGAGAGGTCTGCTGCACTGTGTGGGTCACCTCCCTGCCCGGGGATCAAACTCTGTTATCGTGGCTGCCGATAGCTTCATAGTGCTGCACTTTAACCACTGTGCCACCAGAGAGCGCCCCCCCCATATAACTTTTCTAATCTTTATGGTGACCTTCCAGTTCACTAACTTACCTTTAGCTGTACCCATCCTGCTATTAAACCAATTGTGGAGTGCTTTATTTCTTCTAATTTAGATATACATGTGTTAGAAGCCAAAAGAGAGTCATACTTTTCTTATGCCAAGTCCTGCCAGCTTAGGAAGGTGTCTGACCAAAATTCAGCTACTGTGAGGCTCTTTGCCAAGATTTTGGAGCTATGCATCAAAGGACCACACTCACAGAGGAAAGGGATTATCAAGGACACAGTGCTGACCAGTGTGAGTGGTGCTTCCCACTGACTCTGTGAGACAGCCAAACTCCTAGTAAGTTTATTGTGTTCTTGAGTCACGTGGAGTTGCACATGTAAGCTGACATATGGAAAAAGTACAGGAGTTTTTAAGCATTTACATAATTCAAACTCTGTACATACTGTCTTGTTATAGTTTTAAGAAGTTAAAAATAGATTACCTAAAGTTATAATGTTCATAATTGTAAGGATGACAAATAAAACTAATCAAATTTAGGAGATGGAACTAGATTTGGAATTAAGTGCAATTATGCTCAACTTTGATTTAAAAAATCCAAAAGTACACTGTACAAATACGATATACATGATGAACAAATGAAGAATGATGTAATAAATATTTTTTTAATTCAAAAGTTACAGCTCAGTGTTGATAAACTAAAAAAGAGAGGCATCATCTTATTATTTAGTTGTGAACTTAACTAAGATAAATGATAAAATACAACTCTTCCTCAGCAGCAGGACTAATAATGGGGAACGGAATAGAGAAACGTTCATTTTCTACTTTTCTCTACCTTTTGAATCTGTTTTAGCCCTCCTCTCTCCTGCACCATCAGAAATCACACCACATACGGGAAGGAAAATGAGTGACCTCTAACTCACGTGCACACGCACACAGAATCACACGGCTGCAGCTGCAGCACTGGGAATGCAAACTATAAGAGGTTCAATTACACAGGAATCAACTCAAGAACTTGAATTTGCCTCCAGATTTGCTTTCTTGTATAAAACGCAAAGCAGCCCTCAAACCCATTGGGAACTACAAAATAGGAAGTAAGTCAAATTCCAAAAGGTAACAGGAAAAATGTCAGCTTTTTGACCTAAGAAGGAGCAAGCCATAGAAACCTTAATCTGCCATAATTTTATTTTTTTAATTAAGATTTTTATTTACTTTTACATAGAAGAACTGGGGTGTAGGCCAGAGGAATGGGGGTGAGAGTATGCACCAGAGACAGAGTGGAGAGTGGAACACAGAGACCCACTGAAATCCACTGCTGACAGATGCCACGGGCAAGACAGGAGAGGTCTGTTGCTCCTTGTGGGCCAGCTCCCTGGCTGGGGATCAAACTCAGACCACTTCTACAGAGAAGGTGCTAGTGCTGAGACTCTAACCCTTATGCCACCAGGAAGATCCTGTCGTGATTTTAAATTTTGGTTCTCAGGCATCCCAACCAATGTCAAAGTTGAAATTTTAGTTATCATAACTTTTTAAAAATATCCTACTATGAAGTCAGATTAGTATGAACAAGAGAAACTCAACATTTACTAGAAAAAGCATAAGCAAATTTGTCATCCAACAATCTGGAACTGTTGGTATGCACATCTACCAGTGACAATCTTGAGCAAATCATCAGTACAGCCTGAGTTTTCTCATCTGTAAAATGGGAATAGAATTATGAACAGCAGAACGCTACTATTAAAAGCAAATGAGAGAGTAGACTGCACAAGAGAATATCTAATAAAATGGAAACCCCAATCCAAATGTTAGGTGCGGCCACTATCATCACTACAACTGGCTACAAAGGTAACGGCTGTTTCCGTAATACAGTGGTTATCACATTCGCCTCACAACTGGCCACAAAGGAATTCTACTTGAAAACAATAGGCATGCTAGAAAATGAAAAATTCATCCTATTACAGAAAATACAATCAAGATGAAGTACACCTCTACTTGAAAAGGACGGACATTATCATTTCCGTAGATAAAAGATGCACTCATGCAGTTCACACTGGGGCCAGCTCTCCCCCCCACACACAACCCCCTCCCCATTGATACTTAATATCCACCTGTGCCCAGCATGCTCACAGCTTTGAGCAAGGAAAAGATGGATGTTGGAGAAAACAGATTGGTAAAGGTAGATTAGTGTGGTTAATAACAAGTAAAAAGTTTTAAGTATCCCAAGCATAACGTTTTGTATTACATATCCCATAGAATTGAAGCAAAGAAAATGCATTCAAGCAAGACTAAAAGACAGACAGAGAAATACACAAGAAGAGGACTGGGATTAAAGAGAGGCAAAGCTGGTTCTTTAAGAAGGTGGCATGAGGCAGAGGAAAGAGCCCTGGACCAGGGAAAGGAGATTAAGTTCTGATGGAGCTGGCATCAGCTCCACAAACTCTAGGCAGAACATTACCCATTCTGTATCCCGCTTCTTCATCAGGCAGAAGGTGAACGCAAGACCAGTAATGACAGCCAGCTGGGTATTCAAAATGCGTAAAACGGTCTGCTATGGACTAAGTGGTGTTTCGGACAACGGAGATGTGGGAGACACTAACACAGACACAGCCACTGCTGGAATGGGTTGGCCATTTCAGGTGATCTCCATCCCACTCAAGACTGGCACACAACTCTGACTTCCAGCTATGGAGAGCCCAGATGTGCAGTTAGGAGGCTAAACGACTGCTCTCTTTGTGAGAGAAGAAAGTGTCCCTCACTCCCATCTTGCGCCACCCTAGATCTTGGGTACCACAAATTAACAGATAGAGTATGGTAGTCAGCTAACTTTTATCCTAAAAGGAAAAGTGTCGAAATCACAGAACCTTCCAAAAATACAAAAATGGGTTTTTTGTTTGTTTGTTTTCAAGTAAGATTTCACAAAAAAGTGAAAAATCAAATTATTTGATATTTCATTTAAAAGATCATTTCTAAAGTGACTAAAATAATGAATAGTTGCAATTTCATAAAAATTAAGGAACAATATATTTATTCTTCCTACTGTCTGTTTCCTATAATAGGAAGGATACCACTGAAAACGTAATGTTTTAAGTAACGAATTCCTTGCTGTTTGTTATCTTAAACATAACACCTCTTTTACCATAGAACCCCATCCCTGATTTCTTTAAATCCATTAAAAGAATGTACTTCACTTTGTAAAAAGTACTGATCTTTATTCTATATTTCCTGTTCCTATTGATCTTGTGTCAACAAGGAAAATGTTCAAAGACACAAAATGAGCTCGTTAGACTGATCAGTGAAGCATCTCCAAAGAACAGTCTGACCACACTTTGAGCCTTCAACTCACTGGCCCAGGCCCTCCAAGCACACACTGCCTTCCACAGGATTCTCTGGCAATTCTGCTTCATCTTGGGATTAATCACCCATGATCAGAATGAAGAGAGGGATGAGCAGCCATGAGTGTCTCAGAGATGAAGACTGAGGTAAGAGGAGCGGAAGACCTGGAGCTGACAGCAAAGGGGGACAGCCAGCACGTGCGGACAGAGAAGCAACCAGAGACCTCACGGCGGTGATTGGAGCCCTGGCCCGAGCACCCTGCCTGCCAGGTGTGCACACCTGCATCTTCCTGTGATATCTATTAAAGACACGATCAGCATCCCAGAGGAAAGAAGCAGCACCATGAACAGCACCCCACTTCCTTGAATGAGCTGTGACATATATAAATACACACAGCGCCATGCTGAACGGGGGTACACAACGCTGTTGTTTCCTTGTGAAGAACTTTATGTCACTGTGGCTGCAACCAACAAATCAATCACGTGGCACCCCAGAAGGCACCAGAGACTCAGGCAATAAGTCTTCGTCTTCTTTTTCAGCCACAAGCAGACAGGGGGCTCAACAGTGGTGATCTTTCTGCACAGGCTGCGCTGGCTTATCAGGACACAGAAGACCCTGAGACGAAGGGACCAACGTCTGCTCTCGGAAAATGGAAACAGGCTTAAGTCCATCCTGGTCAGCCATGGAAGGAGAAACCTGCAGGCAGCCAGACCCAGGATAAGGAGATTGAATATAGAGCTCTTGAATTTCCTGACCAACTCTCCAAAACTCCAGACAGCAAGGGTTCCATTTGCGGGCAGGCCAATGAGAAATGCAGCCACTGCCACCAGCATCAGCAGTGCCAGGGCAGTGGCAGTCAGCATGGCTGGGAGCAGAGGCCTCACCGCTGGCCCGGAGATGGCCACTCCTGGCAGGTGAGCGCCTGCAGCTCCTGGCTAGCTTCAGGTCCCCTGACGTGAGGCCACATTCACAGTAAAGTTTTATACTGTGAAATCTGGCTTTGTGCTGGCATGGCTCCAACTTGCTCTCAACAGACCGACAGCTGTGGCCAGGACCAGAGCTGAGAAACGATGACTCCCTCTCTATTTGCGTGCACAAGCAGGGGCCCAGAGCTTAGACTCGGAGGTTGAAACACCACAAATACCAGCCCTCCTTCTCAAAAGTCAAGGAATTGGGGATCAAAAAAACCGCATACCGGCCCTCCCTGGTGGCGCAGCGGGTTAAAGCACAGCACTGAGAATCTAAAGCTGCTTCTGCATGAGTTCGATCCCCGCCTGCCCCGGAGGTGACCACATGGCATGGCAGATCTCTCCTGACCCGCCCACTGCTCCCCTCAGCAGTATACTTCGTCTGTCTGCCTGTTCTGCTCCCCACTCTGTCTCTGGTGAAGCCTCTCACCGCCCCTGAGCCTCTGGCCTGTACCCCAGTTCTGTATGCACAAATAAATAAATCTTTAAAAAAAAAAAAAAACCGCATACCAAGGAGGGGAAGACCCACCCCCTTAAAAAACCTCCAACAGGTTCCTCAAACTGCTAAACATGGAGCTTCCCTACGACCCAGCAATCCCACTCTTAGGTATCTACCCAAAAGACACAAAAACACTGATTGAAAAAGATACCTGCACCCCCATGTTTATTGCTGCTTTATTTACAATTGGAAAATTGGCATTTGGGCTGAAAGCAGCCCAAATGCCCAAAAGTAGATGACTGGATAAAAAAGGTGTGGTACATATATACAATGGAATATTACTCAGCAACCAAAAAAGAGAAACACATATCTTTTGCAGCAACTTGGATGGAGCTGGAAAAGATCATGCTTAGTGAGATAAGCCAGAAAGAGAAAGAAAAATACCGGATGGTTTCACTCATAGCAGGAGTATAATGGACCAGGTGAGAAAATAACAAAAATAATGAACAACCATATACCAGAGACATGTTGTGGGGGTGGAGTGGGGAATGGGATCAAAAATGGGGAGGGAAGGGAGGGAAATGCACAGGACTATGGTGGTGGCACATGGGTGATTTGGTGATGGGAAATCCGCGGGGATTACAATCGAGATGGGAAAAAAAAATGTGCAAAATGATGTAATAATAAACGTTTGTAATAATAATTAAAAAAAAACTCCAACAGCCTTTCTTTACGGCCTTAGCTAACTGCGCCCATTGCAATGATTGTTCCGGGTTACGGAAAAACACATAAGCAGTTTCCTCAACCTCGTAAAGACCCAGCTATCCCATGTTTATTTCCAAATACACTCACACTGGTAGAAACTGCTTGGGTTGGTCAGCAAGAAACCCCAATCTCTGGTTTGCCTTCAATGGCTGGGTCACTGACTCCCACTCAGGAGTTGCCAACACACTGGAGTACGATGCTCACTGCACCTGTCCCTTGGTCGAACTACTGGCCAGACACCTCCGTGGTGGTGGTATGTTTGTGGGTTTTTTCATTCCAGGATCTTCTCCAAGTATGACAGTGAAAGTGAGAGGATACTTTGGACATAAAGAACGGGCCAGATGGTGGCTTTTGGGATGGCCCAGAGTGCCCCGCCTGTCTCTCTAAGTGCACTATTAGGCATAATCTTAACGGTACTCTGGGGGTTGGTGTTTGGACCATTTGAAACGCATTATGTCTCTGTCTTCCAGGATGCTCACTATCCACCTTCATGAATGACCGAGACCCTCAACCGCCTCTGCCAGGACCTGGTTCTGCTGCCCAGCACTTTTATCACATACTTCGATGTCTCTATCCTCCTTATCCTTTTTTTTTTTTCTTAACTGAAAACGACACATCAGCAGGATGCTGGTGACAGTGATCAGGGCACGCAGACGGAGCTGGAGAGGAGCTGCGGACAGAATTGTACCTTCTGACTTAGTCTGGTCATGTTTTTCCATTACCTGAGCAGCAGGGAGCTTAGGCCTATAAGCTGAAGAAACTTGACCCCCTGGGACAACAGACCCACTGGGTCCTTCCCAGATGATAAATACTCTCAACACCGAGTCACCATCAAGAAAGGCTTCAAGGTCGTCGTGACCCAGCAACGGCACACTGTCCTCTGAGGGCCCCTTAAGTATCATGTCACTATGCCGCCTGTTACTCTTCAGACACTCTCTATAACCAGGGTCTTCAGTAGGAACCTGAAGCTTTCCACCCACTCTCTGCAATCCTGTCTCGTCATTGCCTTTGATCATACTTGAGGGAGGCATCACAGCAGCAACCCCTTTAAAGGCAGCAAGTTCTAATCTCCGTTTCATATTTTGAATCACTGCCAGGTTATTAAAATGATTTGAAAGAAAAAAAGAACAATGATCAGGAAAATGCAAAGTCGCACACGTTTTCATGTTTACAAAAAAGTAATATGCAGATGTTGAATATTTTTGTATGGCATGGGAAAATACTGATAGCATACTGCTACGTGAAATGAAAATAAAAACGTATACATACAATGTGACATTAAGTTTTGTAAGAAGCAATATATGTACACACAAAGAAAACTGCAAATAGCAATTAGAGGGGAAGATTTTGCTGTGTTTCAAGCCTGGCTATTGGCTCGCAAGGGTCACTGACAGTGGAAAACCCACTACCCGGCTTCCTCAGCTAAACCTAAAAAATAGAATTGGCGATGTGAACTGTGAAGTTGTGTTTAACCTGGGAAGCTCCCCATTATACGTTAGTAGCCAAAGGAACAAAGTGGTCATTTCCATTCTACACCCTTGCAAAATGCATCCTCCACAGTGCTCATGGGAATTTCTTGGAAAAACTGTCGAGTTTAAAAATATAAGTCGAAGAAACTGCAGGATAAACTAAAATACAGGCATTTGGGGCAAGGAAGTCAGACTCCCACACAATCAGTTTCTCTGAACGAGGAGAAACCTGCTGACAGAAAAATCTTGCTCCCAAACAGTGAGGTGAATCAGTCATTACTGAATAGTGCGATTTCACTAGCTGTTGAAACAAAGACACTTCTTGGCTTTAGTTTTCAGTTTAGGATGTGTGAGAATAATGAGCACAGAATGTCCTGGGTGGTAAAGAGCAGGAATGATCACACAAATAATTCCCACCTCCAAACCCATGCTAACAGGAGAAGGCAGAAAAAACAACAGGGTACTCAGGAAGTAGGGAATGTACAGGACCAGGAAGAAGATCATCAGCTTCATAGCGCCCACATGAGCTTCAATCTGGGGATTCCAAAGAATAGTAGTGCTTCTCTGCAGCGTCTGCACATGTCTCCTCAAGGAGCTGATTAACAGGGACGCAGATGTCACGTTGATGAGGAACTGCAGAAACGAACTCCACACCAAAGAGGTCACCAAAGATACAGTGTCCACACTGATGTGAAACTCGGTGCCATTCCTCCCAGTCACTTACGTAGGAAGGGGTGATGTCTGTAGGAGCACAAGATACAGGAGAGTGGAGAAGGCAGAAAGCAGCACACAGACCAGCAGCAGCCGGGGAACCTTGGCAGGGAGGTTGCGCTTCAGCAGCAGAAACGCTGAGTGCTGGTAATTAGTAATCTTCACACAGTACAAGGTGTTGAGCAAGGTTACAGACCACAGGCTGTTAGAGTCCAAAAATATGAAACACGGTGTTAAGACGGTAAATACATGCCCTGACTTTTCAACATTTGCAAAGACAAATGTGTATATCATATACAGAAGAAACAATCCCAGCAACAGGAAGCGGTTGATGCCCAGGCTAACCAGGAGCCTGTCGAAACTGGAGAGTCTATGGTTTTGCATCCCAGTCTTGTAACTGACCACCGCAATAAACAGGCTGGCAAAGAGTCCGACAGAATTAACACTTGTGGAGACGATAACAGCCGAGAAAAACACTGAGTGGCGCATCTTGACTCGCTGAGGATTCTGCGGCGCTGCTGCCGATGCCGGGGCAGGAGGGAGCCGCAGCGTGCGGCCGGGTGCCAGTGGGCAGGACAAGTCCTTCGTGGGCCGCCCGCCGTGCCCAGGGTGGCAAAAGAGCCATTCGTGCCCCAAGGGCCAGCTGCTTTTACTGCATGCAAATCTCCCATCATGGCGTGGCTGTTTCTCCTTCTCAACCTGCTTT